TTAAGCGCCGCTACTCGAGTAAGCGCCGCACCTTTACCAAAAAAGGGCCGCGGCGCTAATTTGGGTATTTACAAATTAATGCCCCACATTTGTTACGGCGCTTGATATAAAGAGATATCAAAACCATATCGCTTGAGAAATAAGACCTCAACCAACTCGTGAGTTCTAAAGTTTTAATGTCGGGAAACTCTTGAAACCGGGTTCACATAACAGTTGGAGGTGTAAATATTTTACATTAAATTGTGCATACTGAGTTCGCGCTTCACTTAATTCTCTCTATCTTCTCTTCAGTGTTTTACCCGCCGCACCTGTAACAGGGAAAGTGAAATAAGCGCCGCGGCACTTACTAGATCATTTTCAGTCATGCTTACGCAAGGCTTCTGTGACACATACTGTATGCATAAAACTTTCGAAGCGTTTACCTTGTCAAAATTACGGCATATCGGATCTATGAAAGATCTACGGACCCAGAATACATAAAGTACAAACATTAATGTAGATCCGACATGCCGTGATTTTTGCATGGTTTTGTCCATGTGTTTAAGGTTGGTTTTGGCCAACTATTTATTTTCTCTGCGAGACATCAACTTAACACTTGGACTCTTGCCTCCCAGAAGACAAGTGGTATGGCCTGATTCTGTGGGTGTTGAGAGTTCTGGGTCAGAGCTTAAATCAGAGTGCGCGGATATTTTACACCAGAGCTTTCTGGTTGTTACGCCATACTGACGAGCCCCAAAGAGGGCGAAACAGCTGTCTATGGCTATACAATCCCGCTCTGTTTTGAGTTCCTTGGGTGTCGTGTTGATGTCTTGCAGAGTTAATTTTCACGTAGTACGATCAGCATTGCAGTATTCTGCTTGCAGAATTTAACATATCCAAAAACATAGCCTTTCGATTCTGATCACAACGCGGGTGGCTAACAACTTCTTGCAGGTCATTTACAACTTGAGGAATCAATTATGATCGATGTGACCTGAAATTATCTTTATTATTATTATTATTTGAATACTTTTCAATTTTAAGCAATACCATCTACAGTGTGAATTCGGTTAAAATTACGAGAAACAAGCCATAATTTATCCAAAAAAGGACAGAAACTATTTCCTGGTAATTTCCAAAGAGAGGGCAAACCATGCCATATTCGTTATTACAGACAAGGCTATGCGACCTGCTAAAAACCCGTAGAAACGGAACAGCTGCTTCACACCGAATTCATGGCAGGAGAAGGTATCAGTGGATCAATCATAAGTTACAGTCAAGCCAGGTCAAGTGTACCGCCCAAGATCCCATTGATGAATTTATTTTCGGTCAATTTAAAACGCGGACTGCGGACTGGGTATAAAATATGGACTAGGTATAAAACACGGACTAGAAAATATGGACTGGGTATAAAACGGCACTGACTACGTATAAAACACTGACTGCGGACTGGGTATAACATACGGACTATGAGTAGGTAAGGAAAAATAAGATCAAAAGATCGCTAAATATCAAGACGTGTGAGTTTAAGTTATAAATACTCTTAGAAATTCTTCGTGGAGGTTTGCCTCCGGTTCTCTGAATCATGAGCCTAACAAAAATGCTATTTTCTACACCTTTTTTTCAATCATGAAAGGGATCAGGACCCGGGAAGGTACTCCCTTATACAAGCCATAAGGTATGTAACACCCAAAAGGGTAGGATTTTTGGGCCTTTTTGGTCTGAAAACAGTTTGACCATTTTGGTCTGGAATCGGGTATGATTCTCGAGGAAACTATGGGAGTGTACATGTATGAACGTTATATATCGTTTCAATTCCAAATGAATAAGAACGAGATGCATTCAGGAAGAATTCGTGTTTTTGTAATGTGATAATGATGACATAATTTCGTCCTAATCAGGCCTAGCCATTGGCCTAGCCTGTTCCAGGCTCCGAGATAGTTGGGTCCGTTGGATTGAGAAAGCGCGAACACGAAAATAAAACGGGAGGAAACTGGAAGTCTCCCCCACTATCTGAGAGCCTGGAACAGGCTAAATTAGACCAGGTCTGAAAATAGGTTTGGATATTAGAGATCTGGTCTGTAAACCAGTATGGAAAATGAAATTTTTGGGTTTGAAATAGGGTTAGGATTTGGAGAACCGGGCAGCACACACCCACCAAGAATTCCCAGAAGTATCCCCTTCCGGGGGTCAGGAGCAGGGTGTAAATCATGTCATCATAATCATCGCTTAGAATATAACGTTGGATGATTCATTTCGGTTATTATTCACGTATAGGTGAGTAATCCCTCCACCCTAAATACTGCATTTTTACATCGCGAAATGTCCCTATATTGACCCTCTCGTCTGATTTCTCCATTTCCTCCTATTCCCAAGGCTTTATTTGAAACGGAATAGTGGCATCTATAAGAATTTTACTCTCACTAACACCAATACTATTTTTTTTTTATTCGGTGCTTCTTATTGGTTTAAAACTATAAACTGAATTCTCTTCTAACTCCTCCTTTTTATAAAATTCTGAGTTTAATTTCATTTCTCTTGAGTAGCGGCATAACCTTCCTTGTCCGTGGAGTATGCTTTCCTTCCCCACATGACGTTGCGTGACCAGCTAAAGGAATGTTTGTGTGTGAGGAAGGGAGCTGGGACTACTGTTTTATGCTAGTTCGCTTTCCTTTTCTCTCAGGTTTACCTTTCTAAAGCTGTTTTTATATACATAGTCCGAAGTCCGTGTTTTATACCTAGTCCGTGTTTTATACTCAGTCCGGACTCCGCATTTTATACCTTGTCCCTGTTTTATACCCACTCCGCAGTCCGTGGTCCGCAGTCCGCAGTCCGCAGTCCGCAGTCCGCAGTCCACAGTCTATATTTTATACTGACCGAATTTATTTAGTTGAATCCGTTGGTAGTTGAAGATTTCAGATTCATCTCTACATTCTTGCATGCTTAATAAGCCGTGAATTCACACGGGAGGCAGTAACGAAATTTCTACCAGCTCAGTTTCCCTGAATTTGATGTAAATGTATTCTAAGAAATACAGTATAATCCGTTCCAAGATTTTCAATCTGACCTAATACAGAAGAAGTTCTCGTAAAATATTCACTGCTTATTACGCATGCAGAAATGCCGATTTGAATTTGACACTAGATACGGGAACCACTAACGGATTCACTTTTCAAATAATCAATTCATTAATAGAATCTTGGGTCCAGGTTAAAAACACACGACGATCGAACTGATGCTTTTTCCAGAAGCATCACGCAATATCGCAGTCAAGGCAGATTCTATCGTGAAATAAGGTCGCTTTCTCGTCGGCTTTTTTCCCATTCGTCTTCCACTAAAAGTGACAAAATTGCTTTATGTCGTTATTTGACATGATTTCTCCGATTAGCAATGGCTTAAGAGCAACGATAGAAACATATGTTTTCATGGTTTCAATTAGTCTTCGCATCACGAAGTGTTCAGTGACCCACAACAAGGTCATGAATATTCAAAATATTTCGGATTATATGTTGAAATCTTCCAAATGTGGACCTCACGCCAGCAAAATGAAGTCCTGAATATTGTACAGGCTAAGAAGTACCCAGAAGTACCCACATTTTGAAGACTTTTTTATCGACCAAAGATGACTGAAATTTCGTATCTTTTATCACGTTTCAAGGGCAGCACTAAAACATGGAATCCGGAATCCGGAAAGGGAAACAGAATCACGGAAACGGAAACAGAAACGGAAACGGAATACGGAATCAAATATCAATGATAGAAAATTAAAGAATTTCACATTACACAATTTAGTACAATCCAAAGAGAATTTGTCTTAGTTTTCTTGGCAGTTCCCGTAAATATATTCTTGTTATTGTGTCTTGATAAGGTTTGCCGTAGTGTGGGTTACTGCACTGCAAGGCCGATGAAAGTAATTTTACGAGTAATTTTTATTCACGAGTTCATGGGTTGAATAATACAGTTAAATATTACTTTTGTAGCTAATTGTCAAGAACAGTGGTAGTTAGCCTCAGACCACACCACTTGATTGTCCCCAAACTGAATACTCCACCCATGACCGACCGGTGACGTGACCACAGTTGCAGTGTTTTAGCAATAAGTTCAACTTTTTCGCCAAGCTGAATACTGATGGGATACGGGTGTACCAGTAATTGAGTTTACGTGGACGTCCGTATTTTTGTTGAAGAGGCTTATTAAACATGGCGCATTATTTTGATGTAATCGGTTGCGGAATCAACCAAATGCATGCACAATTCTCTCTTCTCTTTGGACTCCACAATGTCATGGTTCTCTTGCGTAAGTTGTCTTGATAAATAAAACTGAACACTGTTGAAGACAACCCAGAAAAGACACTAAGAAAAACTTGACGGCGACGCCTTTCAGTTATATAAACGACGCCTCTGACGATTCAAACGAAGTCTGTCTCCATATAACTTACCTTTTTCTTATTGCACTAGTTTTTGTCAGTAACGTTTTTCTCCTCGCTTTGCTGTTCCATGAGAATTTGCATTCATTGCCGATAGTGGTATCAAGCGTCTTTTCACCGGAATCGACTCCTCTAGTGATACAGCAGTCTCCTCTCCTCTACTCAGCTAATTTATTCATTTGTGTCCCTTTTTTTTTATCTGTTTATTTATTTTATTGTCATTGCTAATATATTTTTTTTCAAATCGATCGCTTGGAACCTTCTTTCACTGATTCCGTATTCCGTTTCGGTTTCCGTTTCCGTGATTCCGTTTCCGTGATTCCGTTTCCGTTTCCGTTTCCGGATTCCGGGTTCCATGTTTTAGTGCTGCCGCATGGCGTATGATAATATATGGGTAAAGCCTGCTTAAGGCTACAATCTGTCGGGGGGTGACGACAAAACAGAGTTATAAATAAGAGAGTCTGTGTTATAAATAAACTTTCCATTGTTTGCCTTTTTATTGTTTAAAATCATCAGATATTTGAATAGTATCTATTGCTGACCTATATATGCACAAAGCAAGTACGTTTTTATAACCTACAACTTGAAACCTCGAATGGCTTGTAAACTAACCGTTTCATCCATCGATGAGCTTAACTACAGAGAGTTTATTGTAAGATTTGGTAATGTTGTAGAGGGAAACTCTCTTTGTGCGGCTGCTGTGTGGTCTAGAAGACCTTTCTCCTCCTTTGAAAACTTCGTGGGAACAATGTGCCAGTTTATTGATGACCTTCCTAAAGATGGAAAAGCAGGAATTTTGCGAAGCTTTCTTGACCTTACAGCTCGCTGGGAGTCTCTGTCATGCGACTCGCAAAGAGAACAAACAGAAACAGGCATAAGACGACTGATCAAAGACGAAGAAGTTCAGCGTCTGAAACACTATTGCAACCTTTACAGGGAGAAATTTGGATTTACATTTGTGACATGCGCTCGCTTACTTGATACCAAACATTCTGTTTTGGAGCAGATCCAAGAGCGTCTTAAAAATAACGAAGAGCAAGAGTTAGAAACAGGAATAGAAGAAGTAAAAAAGATAATGATCCTGAGGGTGAAAGATTTGGTGGATGATTGTCAAACTTCTAAACTATAGTTTGAAAACCCAGAAACACAGTGTTCGATCAGTGTGGAAATGACTATAGGGTCCCTCTGGGCTGGTAGCGCTAGCTCTGACAGTTGACAGTTAAACATTAGATCTTTTGACGGTTAATAGTTATTGGTTGCATTTACACTAGGCTGTTAAGTAAGACTTATTAATTAAGAGCTGCTAAGATTTACTTAGCCAAAAATTAGTGCGTGAAGGCCTGAGTAAATTCTAAAGTAACTTTACGTTGCATCTCATTAAAGTGGGAAAGTTGAAACGATTCAAGAAAGTTTCAAGCAAATTGAAAACCATCCTTATGACCGACTTAGCTGACTTGCGGTTACTTGCGGTTTCTTGAGCTTGGAGAAAGGCAAAACATGTCAATCAGTCTTAATTATCATGCCTGATTACTTGGAACCTTCATCTCCCATATAAGCCCTTCGAGTCAACCCTTTCGATATGTTTGTTTGGTTGCGATATAGATAAATATGATTGTGGCTTATATTGAACGTAAGGGTTGCGTACATATAATACAGTTAAATATTACTTTTGTAGCTAATTGTCAAGAACAGTGGTAGTTAGCCTCAGACCACACCACTTGATTGTCCCCAAACTGAATACTCCACCCATGACCGACCGGTGACGTGACCACAGTTGCGGTGTTTTAGCAATAAGTTCAACTTTTTCGCCAAGCTGAATACTGATGGAATACGGGTGTACCGGTAATTGAGTTTACGTGGACGTCCGTATTTTTGTTGAAGAGGCTTATTAAACATGGCGCATTATTTTGATGTAATCGGTTACGGAATCAACCAAATGCATGCACAATTCTCTCTTCTCTTTGGACTCCACAATGTCATGGTTCTCTTGAGTAAGTTGCCTGATTACTTGGAGCCTTCATCTCCCATATAAGCCCTTCGAGTCAACCCTTTCGATATGTTTGTTTGGTTGCGATATAGATAAATATGATTGTGGCTTATATTGAACGTAAGGGTTGCGTACATCAAAACCTCTATTTAAACTGTGTATCATTATAAGAAGGTTTTGAAAAGATATCGTATGGTTCGGTGTCAACTGTGCTTGTAATCGGAGGAGACATTGGCCAGAGTGCGTCGGGCGTGTAAATAGAACATTTTGTTTTCCTTGCGCGATTACAGGGCGCAGTTGCTCAAAGGCCGATTAGTGCTTAACCCGGGATTCTTTTTCTTTCTTCAAAAACATTTCTTCGGATAATTTTCTCTGTTTTTAGTTTAAGAGCATCCAATCTGTTTGTTGACAAAATGAATTAAATTGAATTTATTGTTTTAAAAGCTTTCACATCTGAATTCAAACTTCGCACTAACCCCGTGAAAGCCTTCAATGGAATGTGTGTGCGGCTCACGTCAATGACTTTTCCAGTAATTTGGTCGAGCGTGTTGATTTCAGTGACTCAAGAGTGGCGCCACTGTGGGCTGTTTTATAAGTTTTTCCTAATAAATAACATAGAGTTTAAGTGTTCGTTCGTTTGTCCGGTGCCGAAAATATCACAAGTCATAATCAAATGGCGCCGCCGAGCTTCACATCTCGGTAGATTTACTTTGTGGCACAACGGCTGCCGAGCTACACAACTCGGTAAATTTACTTTGTGGCACAACTGCCGCCGAACTAAACCCGGTTTGATGCATGCACCAGGAGTCGCAGACATTTTCCAAAGACAGTGACGAACCATGCTGAAAAAAATGAAGGCTTAATCCAAAGCAAAATTTAATAGCAAACTTCTGAAAGATGAACGCTTTGGACGATTCAGCAAACACAGATCGATGTACGCTTTACGAAGATTCAGCAAGTCTTTTAAAAGATGAACGCTTTACGAAGACAGAACTGACCAGACGTCTGCAAACCTTTGAAAGATGAACGCCTAGGACACAAGAATCACCACGTGAGCTAGCGCGTCAAAGTGAGGCAAAACGTAAGCAAGCACCTCAAAGCGAGGCAAATATGTGTCGACGACGAAAATGCAACCCTTATTAATTGCACAGGACACCCAATAATGCACAGAACGCCCAACACAAATTAGGGGTTGCGTTCTCGTGCCTCGAACGCAAATAGCTCTCGCGGAATATTTTTCACGCCTTCTTAGTAATATCCAATCAGAGCAGAGCTACGATCATACGTCACACGTTGAGTCAAAGAAGCGCCATTTGAATTGCTGCCAACAATGGTGGTAGCCAGCGTGGAAGATTTCTCTGATGATAGTTCTGATCTTCTATCGGGTTAAAAGAATCTGCTTAAAGCCTAATAGCAAAAAGAAAAAGGTGGTACACTCATGCGACGTCTTGAAGTTCGCTTTTAACGTTGACAGTTAGCTGCATATCATTATGGTCGGCCATTTGTTTCAAAATTATGACACGATATACGTGCGGTTTTTTGCCACGTATTCTTGCGATCTTTCCTGCTTTGTGGTTTTTTTTCACAAGTATGTGACCATTTATGTGCGTTTGAGAAGAAAATGGTCACATAGTTGGGAAAAAAAAAACCCACAAAGCAGCAAAGATCGCAAGTATGCGTGGCAAAAAACTGCACGTATATCGTGTCATAATTTTGAAACAAATGGCCGACCATACAGTTAATTTTTAAGTAAAAAGTATGTTGTTACAACTGTGTTACAAATGGAACACGGACTACATCTTTCGCTTGCGCGGCGGCTGTAATTGTGCGAGATCTGAGGTCGCGAATTATGAACGGACTTTTGTAAGCCAAATGAATGTGGCTGTGGATGAAAACGGCATTTGATATNNCCGTCCACTCCATGTTTGATCTGAAAAATCATAATTACATCTACCTTCAACAAACTTTTGCTCAAACAGACTTGGGTAAATTATTCAATTAAATTTATGGTTTAGCTTTCATTAAGAAGGAAAAATGAGTTGACAACTACTTACTGCACTGTTTTCTTTGAGATCATTTCCACTGAGGCTTATTTGCAGACACGAACTTTCGAAGCTGTTTAGGAGGAGAAAGAAACCAGTCAATTTTCGCTTTTAAACGAGTTCTACTACCTATTTTCAATTGTCACAAGCTAGGAAAAAATTGTCACTTCATTACAAATTGAAAATGTTCGATAAATTCCTTTGAAATGACCTTAAAATAAGAGAAATTTACTCACGTTTTAGACAAGACGGCAAACACTTCGTTTTGACGTCTCAGACAACACAGCTAAGGCGGGAAACCTCACGCGACGGCTACCGGAAATGCGCAGGCAAATATTTCCAACTTCCGCTTGCCGTCGTAGACATCCGCCGTCGTCGGATCTTAAGGTCCCTAATAATAACTTACAGCACTATCAAAATGAATATAAATCCGGACAACATAAACCAATACCTTTCTTCCTTTTCGACGTTTTGCTTCTTTAAAGGAAATCCTTCAAAATCATGGGGAAAACATCTTGCTTTTCGTTGTCCCAGGTTGTTGTAGATAAGACACAGAAGACACGAAAGTTACTACTTGACCTATTTCCAAAGGCGCACAATTGCCTCCGATTTGCAGGTTCCACGATCAACTGTTACAGACCTTACCGTAAGCGCTCCAATTCCCTTTTAAAACGTCTGGCTCTCCAACAAACAGTTTCATTGTTTAATTCTTTGAAAGGCTCCTTTTAAATAATGGCGATGGAATACAACATTACGAGCAAAATTTAAACATCCGAACATTGTTAGAACAGCAAACACGACCTCGTGCGTTGCAACAAAATGTAGCAATCTTTTTAAGCCAGAATACATATTACTTATATTAACCCGAAACCAGCTTCCCCCGGTTGTAAGGGAACGGAGGCGGGAGCCACGTTGATGGAACAAGGAGTAAACTTGCTGGCCAATTTTCCTCTTTCGTGGCCATTTTTTTTTTTTTCTCACTAAGGAAATATGCGGACGTCCTCGAAAACACATTAATTTCTCGGGAAAGCCTGTTCTAAAAATAATTCTTAACGGGAATGGGTTAACTCAAGGGTACAGCACATATGGAGGCTCGAAGTAATCGGCTCCTGCCTTAAGTTAACCTGGAGTAAAAAAGAATCGGTTGTGTGTGAAGCTTTATTTTACTTAAGTAATTAAAAATTACTTGTCTTGAAATATTTCTTAGCTTATTTAGGCTCTAGTGTAAAGACTACCATTAAGTGGAAGTTTAGTCCAAGAGTTTAATTAAACATTTACTTCTGTATCAATTACTATTAATCTTTGTCATTTGGAGGTGGACAGCAGACAGAAAACAAAGCGACTATTGTTGTCTCGTTCTCATTTGCATGGTGCAGGAAAACAATGGTCTGCAGCAGTTTGCAGTCTGCAGTTGGTACAGACCAGCATTAGGTTTTCTTGGCCTTTCACTTCTAAAATTTCAATTTTTTTTTAAATATAAGTAAATTTTGTGGTCTTGCAATGTCTAGAAAGAGTGTTTTCGAGAACATGGGAACTGATTTTTCCAATTTAGAGATTCTTCAGTTGCGAGAAGTCAGTGAAGATCAGCTGAAATAGTAAGATTTGAAATATACCTTGAACTTTTTTGACGACTATTTTAATTTGCATTTTGCATGGTTGCGTTGACGGTAAGAAATTACCTTTTTTGACGGCTTGCGCTTAAATTTTAGACTGTTTGACGGCTGACGGTTAACCTTATTGGAACCCTCGGAAATTAACCCTCGAATGTACCATGCCATGTAACGTACCATTATCTGACCTTATCTTACACATACTGTAAAAATCGGCTGATACAAAGTCTTTTTAGTAGATGTTTTGAAAATGATAATTGAGGTGTGGGCTAAAAGCTGATATGAGCTTCTGAATAATTAACACTTTTAAAGGTCAAAAGGGGAAGACAGCACCTATTCATGTCATTTTTTCCCTTATTTTCTATTTATAGTTTCTTTGAGGATGGTCTATGTTTCGATGCATTAGCAGTAGCAGGTTAAAAACTTGTCAGACACATACACTGCTAGTTTTTCGTCTATTTGGCCTGCACCAGATATGCAAATGAGGTCACTTGAGTCGCTACGCCCAGGGGGGGAGGGGGGAAGCTGCTTCCCATACATTCTCTTGATTGAAATTCAAGCGATGTTCTCACAACTTGCAAAGCGATCAGCAAAGGTCTTGCCAGCGAATTTGTGTACTGATCATGCGCATTACGTCAAAATCCATAGATCGACGGTCTTGACAAGAAACAAAAACATGTCGAAGGCGGAACTGTTTCTCACTATTATATTTTAGTAATTCGTAAATTTATTGATTTCATGTCGCTTTTCAGACATAGTGTGTGGTTTTCTTTTTCTGTTAAACAATTTCCCTCTGCAGAGTTTGGAATATGCAACATATAGCTCCGTACAGCTGATAAGAACCGCCGAAGAGTTGAGCTATCGAGCAGTATTTTGCCGCAAACCTTTAAGAAAGTTAAAGTCCCTGCAAGGTACAGAGCTTTCAGTAGTAGTTGTGATTTGTTTATTAGGATCGTTTTGAATTTTAACTTTGGATTCAAGGTGTTGACTGATCGTGTTAAACGAAGTGAAATGTTATGAAGTGTGAATGTTCAATCAGTTATGATATGTAGAGCTGTAACCTCATATTTATAAAGCTCTCTGAATATACTTGCTCCCGATAAATTTGACACTTTCTCCAGCTTTATTTGTCAGCATCAAGTTATCTTTGCCCGGCAAGAACGATGTAACCTATAAAATCGATGGAGCGCGTTTTTGTTGGTTAATTAGATCTAACACGGTTGCATTTTACTTTCCCCCGCAATTTCAGCTCCGAAAGACAAATACGATACGCAAGAAAAACAAAGATGCATGATATTATTTTTTTCAATTTTTTAAGCATTTCTGATTTCCTCTGCAGGTTCCCTTCTTGCTTCTAAAAAGTCTATTTACTGTGGGAAAAATACTGCAATTATTCGCTGACCACCACGCAGGGTGACCGCTTTGCAAGTTGTGAGAACATCGTTTCTCGGTCCCAGACCTCGTCTCTTCCCCCCCACCCCACCCCCCCGATGTTTCTACTAGTTACATGATTTTAAGGCATTTCTACGCTTGCCAGGTAATGTCAAGATTTAAAGGAAAGCATGTTATAATGATACACTTTTATTGGGTAAAATGGCTAGTGTAACCGCACCTAATATATCATGTATCAACACAGAACGTTTCAAGGTATCCTGAGAAAAAGAGCCCACATTTAGCGACGTAACCACTGGTTTCCGCGCGCAATGACCTCTAAGGAACGAGAGTACAGAAATTCCACCAGGATGAAGTGTCATTACCCAGATTACTGGGTAGTGCTTCGGATTGGTAATTGCATTCCGTGTCATTTCGAGGGGAAACCAGTATTGTGGCATGGCGAAATGTTAGCTGTTTTAATTCTCAGGCTCGTTTCAATGTAGGTAAAATCAGACTAGCTTAGTTTAAATTTTTATGTAAGTGACACAAGCATTAGCGAAAGCATGCTACTCGAAAAGCCGAGAGTGAACCAATCAATAGCATACTATTCGCGACAGTCCCTTTAATTTCACGCTCCCTGAATAAGAGACGGAGAAATGGAACTGCGCCAAGAAGTTGAACGTTAGATACGTCCTAAAGAACCCAGACACTGCCAAAACTCAAAACCGGGTCACAAAACTCAAAGAAGAGAAAAACCCAGTTCTCCAACACTAAAGGTGAAGGGGTGGAACAAAAGTACTCATAAACTCAGAGTATAGTGAAACAACTAGACGGCTAATATTTGCTGAGAGCTGAGCAAGGAGGTCTTTCAGGGAATACCAAAAGGACTGTGTGGTAACACACAAATAGGCTGCCAGCCCTTGAGTGGCAATAAGCAAATAAACTGGAGAAAAAGGTCTAAGGTAAAAAGGAAAACCATTCTCTCTTGGGAAAACCTAAGGCGCAGAGAAGACGCGAGAAAAACCCGGCCACCCAAGGGATGGCAGCCTGAGCGTCAGTAATCCGATTAGGGCATTAGACACCCTTTCAGGCTACCATGGAAGCGCAGGAAGAAAAACATGAAATGACGGCCGGGTGAGAAAAGGCGAGGAACGAATAGCACAGATAAAGTAAAGAGTAGAAAAACAACTAGGAAAACAAGGGAGCAAATACACTGGGACAAGGGAGTAAGCCCGCAGAACTGGAGGCCGGGTGGCGAAACACGCGTACCAAATTACAGGAAAATGCAAAGGAAAACAATATTAACAGTCAATATCTACAGGGGCCGAGGAAATAACACGACTGTAAACAGTGTAAAATAAAACACGCCGAACAGATTGACCAAATAAAGCACAAATGCAACAAAAGTGATGAACCAACTTTACGGTAATCGAAGGAAGATTAAATTAGTGAGGGAAAGAACGCAGAACACAAAATTAAAACTGAATAATACAAAGCAAAAAATTAAGCGTGCAAATTCGAGGGGAGCCGGTGAAAAATCACTGCACAAACCAGAGCTTGTTCACTGAATAGAGCAAAATTAAACACAAGCGTGCAACAAACTTTACGGGAGCCGAGGAAATAGCACTGCACAAACCCGATGTTTGTGAGGCAAAGCACGCAAAACAAAAATTACTGAATATTAAAGCAAAATACAACTCAAGCGTGCAACAAACTTTATGGGAGCCGAGGGAACAGCACTGCACAAACCCGGTGTTTGTGAGGCAAAACACGCAAAACATAAATTACTAGCAACGAAAGCAAACTACGGGAGCCGAAGGGAAAGCACTAAAACTTTACGGGGGGCAAAGGGAAGAACACTGCACAAACTGCAGATAGCGATGCAAAGTACGAATAACACCGCAACTGGATAATACAAAAGCAAAACATGAACGTGTAAAAACCTTACGGGAGCCAAGGGAAGGGCAGTAAACAAACTGGGAGTATAGCGCCAGCAAAACACAGGCCATGGAAAGTCAGTCATCCGCATTGTACTGGCGATTGGGCTGTTTGAAGCAGAGCTGGAGCTTGTGTAACATTGGCCGGGACGGGACCGGTTCGTCAGCCATCTTGATAAAACAAGAATCGGTTAACAGAGCGAATGGATTCTTACGCGAACTGGGCAGATATGAGATGCGGAGCTCTTATTTATACTAGCTTTGCAAGGGACCGGCGCGAATGGAAACGTCATGAGGGTCTTTTGTGAGAACAAAATATAGTACTAAAAATATGAGGGCGCTGCGTCACTCTGCATATTAAGAGACAATTCGAAATTAGTGATTTAAAGCTGACCTCAAGGCGGCCATGATAGTTGACAAGAACAAAGCGTTTCCCTCCGATCCTCACTTACCGGCCGGGAACTAAGCCTTTTTATTTTTTATTTTTTAATGCAAAATTGCGAGAAAAGTGCATTGTCTCGTCAACAACAATGGCCTCCTTGTCACGTGCTTCCAAACCAAGAATAGTTCTTATTCGCATTTATGTCAGAGCGCCTAACAACGCCACTAAGTTTCGTTTTGGAATTTTAACCTGACATGACGTTTTACAACTGAGCTATTCGTAGGAATAAACCAAGTCATGTTATGGATAGTTATGTCAAGTAAGAAACACTTTTTAGTCACACCCTTTCATAACTCCACAGTTTTGCAAATTTGTCTGAACTTTTATTCAATATACAAACTTTGCAGCTTCCATTCTCACTTTCATTAGTCAATTTTATTGACCATGGTGGAGGACAGGATTGCTTAAATTTAGGTGGTTATTGTTCGACTTAAGGCTTAGCCAAATACATCAGCGTGAAGTCATTCAGTTTTGATAGCCAGTATTTAAAATTTGTCTGTCAAAAAAGAACATGAAGTATAGAAAACTAAGTATCTTTTAGCCTGAGCAAACAGCCGGCATTTCGCGACGCCACCAATGGTTTCCTCGCGAAATGACGTCTGTCAGGAACCTAGATCTGGGTAGTGCTTTTGATTGGTTGAAAATTTGCTTCATCTTAGCAAAAGTATCAATACTTAGAACCCAGTTAGTGACGCGACATCAGTATGGAATCGAAGTTTTGCCCTCGAACCTTAGACGACATTATACGGACAAAACTCTGTTGAAGTCGCGAAACTGATGTCACCTGTTTTATCAGGCTTGTATCTTTACGTTTTAATTTCTCAATTTGTTGAACTGAAAGACATGCTTTCAAAGGGTTAAGGAGTACATAAGAATGCCATTCATGATATCTCTAGTGGGAAGAACGATTTTCCATCCAAGAAGCAATTGAACCAAACTTCGGTCGCTCAGATGGTTCTTCGTGCCAGCATTGTAACATAAGATTATAGCTAAAAACGAAAATAAAGGAAAATAAAAGAACAAGAAAAGTAAGTTTGAAAAGTAAATCCAGTACGTGTTTCTTTATAAAGTGAACGAACTGGCCCTTGTAATTAACAATCCCGTCGGGTAAACTAACTTCAGTTAATTCCTAGCCATTATTTTCTAACTGGAAGGGACAGAGGAAGTTGGCAACACCCGCTATAAGAAAAGCCGGGAAAACTGTGATATCATATAGCAGCCAACTCTTACAACTCTCAACCATTCAGTATGTGATCTGTACTCTCCTTTATAGGTATATACCATTTATAGGCTATAAGCGTCCATTTTTTGCGACGATACTGATGTCATTCATAAAGTTCCTGCATTAGGTTATGATGATAACAGTTAAGTCAGGCCACTTACTATTATTATTATTATTATTAATGTTATGTCACTTTGGCGATAATTCGCCTGTGGACGCCGACCTTCCCAAGTGTCCGCATAATACATGGTGTCCTCTTAATAGAGGTTTGTAAAGATTGCGCAATGTTTGTTAACGATTAACTTCAATGGTTACTCTGTACGGTGGGAAAGTTCCATGTTGTTAAGGAAGCTAAGGAAGCTGTGCAGTACTTTGTGCAAGACTTTCGGTCTAATCTAAAGTTTATTGACAGCTAAATGTATTGATTTATCTTAGTTTATTAATCGACTACAGTAAGTATTTCAAGGACGCAATCCAATACTACTATTGTCAATTCAGTCCCGGGTGTCTGCTTAATAGAGGTTTTTAACAATAGAAATTAGCCAAATACAATTTATTTTAGTGTCCGCGTCCGCTTAATAGGTAGGTACTTTAAGTAGGGTTATTAAAGTGTATCAAGAAATGTATCAAAATAGCCATGTACTGCCATGTACAGCCATATAATGTCATGTATGGCAATGTAATGCCATGTATAGCCATGTATTACCATATCTAGCCATGTACACCCATGTAATGCCATGTATTGCCATGTATTACCATGTATAGCCATGTATAGCCATCTATACCCATGTAATGCCATGTATTACCATGTATAGCTATAAATAGCCATGTATACCCATGTAATGCCATGTATTGAAATGTATTACCATGTATAGCCATGTATTGCCATGTATAGCCATGTATAGCCATGTATAGCCATGTATACCCATGTAATGCCATGTATTGCAATCTATTGCCATGTATAGCCATCTATTGCCATGTATTACCATGTATAGCCATGTATACCCATGTAATGCCATGTATTGCCATGTATTAACATGTATAGCTATGTATAGCCATGTATAGCCATGTATACCCATGTAATGCCATAAATTACCATGTATAGCCATGTATTCCCATGTATATATAGCCATGTATAGCCATGTATAGCCGTCTATAGCCATGTAATACCATGTATAGCCATGTATACCCATGTATAACCATGTATAGCCATGTATACCCATGTATAACCATGTAATGCCATGTATTGCCATGTGTTACCATGTATAGCCATGTATAGCCATGTAATGCCATGTATAGCCATGTATAGCTATGTATTACCATGTATAGCCATGTATTGCCATGTACAGCCATGTATTACCATGTATTGCCATGTATCACCATGTATAGCCATGTATTGCCATGTATAGCTATGTAGAGCCATGTATAGCCATAAATACCCATGTAATGCCATCTATTACCATGTATTACCATGTATAGCCATGTATTGCCATGTATTACCATGTATAGCCATGTATTACCATGTATACCCATTTAATCCCATGTATTACCATGTATTACCATGTATAGCCATGTATTACCACGTATACCCATGTATAGACATGTATTGCCATGTATTACCATGTATTGCTATGTATTACCATATATCGCCATGTATTACCATGTATAGCCATGTATACCCATGTATACCCGTGTAATGCCATATATTGCCATGTATTACCATGTATAGCCATGTATAGCCATGTATAGCCATGTATAGCCATGTAATGCCATGTATTGCCATGCGTTACCATGTATAGCCATGTACTGCCATGTATAGCTATGTATAGCCATGTATACCCATGTAATTCCATGTAATGCCATGTATTGCCATGTATTACCATGTAGAGCCATGTATACCCGTGTATACCCATGTAATGCCATGTATTACAATGTATAGCCATAAACAGCCATGAATACCCATGTAATGCCATGTATTGAAATGTATTACCATGTATGGCCAGGTATTACTATGTATTACCATGTATTGCCTTGTATCGCCATGTATTACCATGTGCTGCCTTGTATTTCCATTTATTACCATGTATTGCGATGTATTGCCATGCATTGCCATGTATTGCCATGTATCTTCTTGTATTATCATGTATTGCCATGTATTACCATGTACTGCTATGTATAGCCATGTATTGCCATGTTATGCCATGTATAGCCGTGTATTGCTATGTATTGCCATGTATTACTATGTATTACCATGTATTGCAATGTATCGTCATGTATTACCATGTGCTGCCATGTATCGCCATGTATTACCATGTATTACTATGTATTACCATGAATTGCCACGTATTACCATGTATAGCCATGTATTGCCATATATTGCCATGTATTACTATGTGTTACGATGTATTGCCATGTATTACCATGTATAGCCATGTATTGCCATGTATCGCCACGTATTACCATGTATTACTTTGTATTACCATGTTTTGCCATGCATTACTATGTATTACCATGTATTACTATGTTTTGCCATGTATAGCCACGTATTGCCATGTAATGCCATGTATAGCCATGTACTGTCATGTACAGCGATGTACTCCCATGTATTACATGTATTGACATGTACTGCGTGTATAGCCATGTATGGCTGTGTATTGCTATTTATTACCTTGTATTGCTATGTATTGCCATGTGTAGCCATGTATTGACCTTGTATGTCTTAAGTTGGATTAAAGTCAGTGAATTGAAAAGTCTTTTTTTTTTCTGTTACATAGTTCAGGGGTAGCCCAAGAAAAGGCTCTTTTTCCGAATGAAAATACAGTTTTTTGGGGAGGGCAACGTTCTTTCAGGATTGTAAACGGATATTAGTTGACAAAGATATTCAAGTGCCATTCGTCACTTTAGAAAATACCCTCGTTGAAAGTCAGTTAAGAACTTATTGGCCCCGAAGAGCAGGGATTTCGCCCATAAGGCGAAATTCCGAGGAAGCGCTCTATTAGCTCGCCCGTTTATTACGGAAAGTACTTACAGTTGTTATTTATAGTCAGTATACCAGAAAAAAATATCGATTTCTTTTATAGATAGGGGCCGCAAGGGATAGGGGGTTAACGGTTTCTTTTGTTCGCGCCCGTAGTTAAGACAGAAAATCCCGAAGGGACCGCAAATTGGTAGATTTTTTGGTCATACTTCGTTTACCTTTTGCGTTACGCGTTATCAGTGACATTTTGTGGAGCAGCTGTTTTGAAAGTTACGCTCGTTAAGCGCAGTTGAAGTTATAAGTTTCGTATAACATCTGAGTCCCCAACAAGATGCATACATATGACCTCCCATACACAAGGCGAACGCTCCCTATCCACTTTGAACTACTGAGAACTCATGAAGATCGAGGCCATATACTATACATATATATATATATCTTTTTTTTAGCCGGTGTTGGCGTTTCGAAAACATCAATTTTTCCACACGTTGCAGAACTATCAATTCCTGTACTGACTCAAAGTGACTCGCTCAAAACATAAATAAATGCGTGGAGTGGATGGCTGTGAGGGGAGGCTTAAGTCCACCACCAGGACCAATGAATCAAATACACTATTGCCAAAGTCTGGACATTTCAAACATACCTCACTAGATTCTATTAATAAATTGATTATTCAGTTGAAAAATGAGTCCCTTAGTCGTTCCCTCTTATACTGTTAAATTCAAATCGGCATTCGTACATGCGTAAAGAACAGTGAATATTTCAAGAAAACATCCATTCAGAACCTCTTTATTTGAAAAGATTTATAATAATTTTAAAGGCATAGAATTTATTAAAAAATTCAGGACAACTAAGCCGGCAAAAATTTCATCACTGACTCGCCCGTAAATTCACAGTATGCAAGATTGCAGAAATAAATCTGACATCTGAAAATAGGATTTCCTATAGTCTCAAGTTAGCAAAATACCGTAAAATTCAGAAAAGAAGACCCAGAATTTATAAACCCATCCGATTTTCCATGGCATTACATGGTAATGCATGGCAATACATAATAATACATGGCAGTACATGGGCATACATGGCAATATATGGTAATAGATGGCGATACTTGGCAGTAATTGGCTATACATGGCAATACATGGAAAGACAAGGCAATACATGGTAAGACATGGCTATATACATTGCAGTACATAGAAATACATAGTTATACATGGCAATACATGGCAATACATGGCTATACATGGTAATACATGGCAATACATGGTAATGCATAGTAAAACATGGCAATACATGGCAATACATGGCATTAAATGGCTATGCATGGCATTATATGGCTATACATGGTAATACATGGCTATACATGGCAATACATGGCAATACATAGTAATACATGGAATCACATGGCTGTACATGGTAATACATTGCAATACATGGCTATACATAGAAATACATGGCAATACATGGTTATACATGGTAAAACATGGCAATACATGGCTATACATAACAGTACATGGTAATACATGGCTATACATAGCAATACATGGCAATACATGGCAATACATGGCGATACATGGCAGCACATGGTAATACGTGGCGATACATGGAAATACATGGCTATACATGGCATTACATGGCAAAACGTGGTAATACATGGCCAAACATGGTAATATATGGTAATACATGGCAATAAATGGCAGAACATGGCTTTACATAGCAATACATGGCTGTACATGGCAGTACATGGTAGTACATGGCTATACATGGCAATACGTGGCTATACATGGTAATACATGGCGAGACATAGTAATACATGGCAATACATGGTGATACACAATAATACATGGTAATACCTGGTGATACATAATAATACATGGCAATACATGGTAATACATAGTAATACATGGTAAAACATTGTAATACACCGTAATACATGGCTATACAAGGCATTACATGGCTATACATGGCTATACGTAGCATTACATGGTTATACATGGCAATACATGGTAATACTTGGCAATACATGGTGATATATGGTAATACATGGCAATAAATGGTAATATATAGTAATACATGGTGAGACATGGTAATACATGGTAATACATGGCAGTACCTGGAAATACATGCTAATACATGGCAGTACATGGTAATACATTGCTATACATAGCAATACATGGCAATACATAGCAATACATGATAATACATGGCGATACATGGAAATACATGGTAATACGTGGCGATACATGGCAATACATGTTAATACATGGCAATACATGGCAGCACATGGTAATACATTGCAATACATGGCAATACATCGCAATACCTTGTAATACATGGCAGTACATGGTAATACATGGCTATACATGGTAATACATGGCAATACATGGCATTACATGGGTATACATGGCTATACATGGCAATACATTGCTATACATGTTAATACATGGCAATACATGGCATTACATGGTAATACATGGCGATACATGGCAGCACATGGTAATACATAGCGATACATGGCAGTACATGGCTATAACTGGTAATACATGGCGATACATGGTAATACATAGTAATACATGGTAATACATGGCTATACATGGTAATACATGGCTATACATAGCAATACGTGGCTATACATGGTAATACATAGTAATACATGGCTATGCATGGCAACACATGGTAATGCGTGGCTGTACATGGCTATCCATGGCTATACATTGCTATCCATGCCTGTACATGGTAATACATGGCTATGCATGGTAATACATGGCAATACATGGTAATACAAGGCTATACATGGCAATACATAGTAATACATGGCTAAACATGGCAATACATGGTAATACATGGTAATACACGACTATACATGGCTATACATAGTAGTACATGGCATTACATGAGTATACATGGCTATACATGGCTATACATGGTAATACATGGCGATACATGGGATATATATAGTAACACATAGTAATACATGGCTATACATGTCATTACATGGGTATACATGGGTATACATGGTAATACATGGCAGTACATGGTTATACATTGGTATACATGGCTATACATGGCTATACATGGTAAGACATGGTGATACATGGTAATACATAGCAATACATGGTAATACATGGCAATACATGGCTATACATGAGTATACATGGTAATACATTGGTATGCATGGTAATACATGGCAATACACGGCTATACATGGTAATACATGGTAATACATGGCATTACATGGGTATACATGGGTATACATGGCTATACATGGTAATACATGGTGATACATGGTAATACATAGCAATACATGGTAATTAATAGATGGCAATACATGGTTATACATGAGTATACATGGTAATACATGAGTATACATGGCTATACATGGCTATACGTGGTAATGCCTGGCGATACATGGTAATACATAGTAATACATAATAATACATGGCTATACATGGCATTACACGGGTAAAAATGGCTATACATAGTAGTACATGGCAATATATGGCATTACATGTCTATACATGTCTATGCATGGCTATACATTTTAATACATGGCAATACATGGCATTACAGGGGTATACATGGCTCTACATGGCTATACATGGTAATACATAGTGATACATGGTAATACATAGCAATACATGGTATTGCATGGGTATACATGGCTATACATGGCTATGCATGGTAATACATGGCAATACATGGTAATACATGGTAATACATGGCTATACATGGTAATACATGGTAATACATGGTTATACATGGCATTACATGGCTATACATGGCTATACATGGCTATACATGGCTATACATGGCTATACATGGCAATACATGGCTATACATGGTAATACATGGCAATACATGGTATTACATGGGTATTCATGGCTATACATGGCAATATATGGCTATACATGGGTATACATGGTAATACATGGCTATACATGGTAATACATGGCAATACATGGCTATACATGGTAATACATAGTAATACCTGGCATTACATGAGTATACATGGCTATACATGGCTATACATGGTAATACATGGCGATACATGGTAATACATAGTAATACATAGTAATACATAGTTATACATTGCTATACATGGCATTACATGGTAATACATGGCATTACATGGATATATGTGGCTATACATGGCTATACATGGCATGACATGGTAATATATGGCTATACATGGCTATACATTGCATTACATGGCTATACACGGTGATACATGGTAATACATGGCTATACATGGCTATACATGGCTATACATGACATTACATGGGTATACATGTCAATACATTATTTTAAATGTATTCTTGATACACTTTAATAACCCTACTTAAAGTACCTACCGCTTAATAGAGGTGTCCGCTGAATAGGGGTTCGTTATAAAGGGAATTTAGGATATTAATCTCGGGACCAGGCTTAAAAAAAAAGAGAGGGTGTCGGCTTAATTGGGGGTCAGCTTAATAGAGGTTTCATCGTATATTGGTAAAGCTAGCACAGATGTCTTTCTTCGAAGCCTATGAGAAGAGTCCTTTACAGTCAGTAAGACAGAATATAACAGATGGTGTTTGTCCTTTCTAATTTTATCACAACGCTTTCTATCAGATTGTTCTCAAAGATAATAAATACTTAATTTGACGGAGATTTAGCATCTTTTGTGACATCTCTGAAGTAAGCATTCAACGATTACAAGATCAGCGCAAGCCTTGCTAGCACCATAAATCGAGAGACTGATTGAGTCAATTTAGAGAGTACAATTATAGCATATAAAATTTAGGGATGGGATATAGAGACCACTACGACAGATTCACGAAGCCTTCTGTTCATATAAGATCGGGATACGGTATCTCAAGTGGCTATTGTTAAGGAGCAATATCATTATTTAGGATATGTCCGGCCAGGAGGTCTTCGAATATATCATCCTATTGCGAGAAATACTCACAGCTCTGAAGTGAAAGTTGATTTTCTTCGCATCCGTACACCACTCGCGACAAAGCTATAGACCTCTTCCCCGCTCATTCCGTCGTAAGGTTTTCCTCCTATAAATATAAATGCAGTATAAAAGTGGATGTGTATTATTTAGCAATTATTCCGGCAATGAAGCTGAGTAGGATGTGAAGAATTATGCAAAGGTGCGACTGGCCTGTCAACAGATCCTCTTTTTTTTTCTTTATAGATCATCGAGCGCCCGTATATGAAAATTAAAACCGCAGTGGATTTATTGACCGCCAGTGCAAGAGGGCTTCGCTTGCGCACTCGCAAAGGCTAGAGGCTCGCATGGAAGTGTTCAGGTGTTCCACTGACTATCGAATTAGAATTAGTGGCCTTAGGTTTCTTATATACCGGACCGAATCCTTTTGGAGCAAGAATGAGAACTAACCGATGACGAGCGAATTGAACCGACCAATTGAGTCCTTCTCACGCATACAAACTCTTGCCTCACTGGCCTGCGTAGAAGCGCTTGGAAGGAGTGGGCGCAAGAAAGAAAGGGGCGCGCGAGGGGGACAGGCGAGGGGATAAGGAGCTCCTCCTTCCTCGCGTGTCTGTCTCTCTCGCGCCGGTTCTTTCTTTCACCTAAATACTTCCACGCGCCTGCTACGCAGGCTAATGCCTCACTAGTGGGAGGCGTTCAAGAATGCTTTCAGCTTTGCTACACAGGCCGTGCCATCCTTGCTGGAAATGTGACCACATGTCAGCACTTTGCTTATCAGGATTAACTGCTAGCAGGAAACACCGCTACAAGAGTCTTACATATGCTGATGTCTGACCCTGAATCAGTTTCGCAATATAACTCAATCGTATGTTTGGGCCGGGGTCGTTAATTCACGAAAGTTTTGATTTATGTCTCCAGTCTCGTATGCAAAATGCCTAGAGGTAATCTGCTGTTCTACTTACCGAGGGTGAAAATTTCATACAGGACAATCCCGTAGCTCCATCTAAAATCAGAAGATTTCATTTTTCATCAGTCTGTTTTAGTTGTGTGTGTGTGTGTTTTTTCTACTCTACCACACGGTCTAAACAATTTCGTTATCCTTCATGTACTCTTTATTGAGTAAACTAGACCACCTTGCAATACACTCTTATTTAAGCCCGGCTTTAGTTGGGATCTGGAAGAATATGGCATTCCGGCCTACACATTACTTCTTACATTCATGCTCTTCCAATACTTCGCGACGCCTTATTTCGCAGGCGAGAGGCAAAGTTAGTGAAAGAAAACACCGATTTAAACCCTTAACACAAAACTTGATACGTACAATTAAGTTAGACATATTTTTTTTCTTAACCAGTCATCGGCCTTGACTCCAGCGAGCGTTTAGATGATATCGCTCACTAATCAAATGACTACAGTAACAAACCTTTAATAGTCTACAAGTAGATGATGTGTAGACCATTGCTAAAATATTCTCTCAAGATACCGAAAGAGCCGCTTGACGGGTGATACGACTTCCGCGCTGCGTTCCTGTGAGCAACAGCTTAAGCATTCTCATGCAGACAAATATTGCTGGTTTTCAGTGTCACGCCATTCAAAATAAATCAAAAGAGAAATCAAAACCGTTCAACAGATAAATTCCGGAGTCTGGGAAATGAAAGGAGGTAAATATACAAAGGGCCTCGCCAAGATTCACGTCAGAAGAATATTCCGTATACGAGATATCCGAAGAAATGTTTTACCCAAATTTATAAAGATTTGTATGGAGACGCCATGCTGGTGCCCACCTGGATGAGCACCAACATGGCGGACGGAAACCAACAAAAACATCGTTTCCGAGTTTTGGTATAAAAGCGTGAATGTATCCCTAGAGGAACTCATAAACATTAAAGTAATACTTTTTCTAATACATGAACTGTTAAGATAGCAAAATTCCCCGAAATACGTCACTTTTTTAAACTACGTGACAGCTCTCTCGGCAGTCAAGTGAATACCACGTCACGCAAAAGCTTAGAAATTCAAGCGTACTCTATCACAAAACCAAGAACTTTTTTGAAGCGAAAATTTGTATGAAAATTAGTTTTCAGCTCCTGGATCGATAGTTTTGTAGTTTGAATTTTTAGTGACGTCATGTGAAAACCAACAATTGATTTGAGAAACAACTTATGCACGCATGTTGAATGCATGCCTAACTTTTATACTTTCATTTTACTTACACATCACTTTCTGTTGTATAAACTTGATTTATTAGTGACTCAACTGCCATCCATTTTACAGGCATCAGACCCTGTCAATAAAGCGCAGAACCTTGAATTCAGGAATCGTTTGGGGGCAGTGCGAAATATAGAATTGACAGCTGTGAATCACAGCGCAGTTAAGGTACGGCTGACGATGTGCGCTTGGCTGTCAAACAGGCAATCTTAAATTAATCGTAGCCGGCAGGAAATTTATTTTCGATTTGGTATAAAGGACAGCGGTCTTTGTTCTATATACGTACTTACATTGGATCTTCTAACGTAGATTTCCTCCCGGCCCAGGTCCCTTGCCATGCCAAAATCGGTAATCTTACAACGCAGCCCTTCACCAACTAAGATGTTTCGAGCTGCCAGATCTCTGTGGATAAGCTACGACCAGAAATAATAATGTATTTAATCATTACATAAAAAAGTTTGCTTACAAATTTTCTTATGACGCAGGCATTGTGCTTTTCCTTATGTTTGCGTCATCTAAGCTTAAAATTGCGGGCAAAAGGTCGGAATCACGAGCCATAACAAACTGTGTAACGAAACATATTTTCATTCTCTTATGCCTGGGCTTTTGTTTGTATCGTTTCGTTGTGCGTTTAAACGGAGGTGACGAAAATCACGAAAAGCACTCGCCACGAAAATCCTTCTCAGCTGCAAAGATGGATTGATTGTTTTAAATCTTTAACGCCATCTCAAGTAGAGCTCAAACTGTACTGTACTATACAGTTCCTTCTTCGCTGAACTATATACTTGCCAGCGTTTTTTATTGGGCGCACGAGTACCTAATTTTTTCGGGTACCTGCAGCGGTGAGTTTTTGTGGGGGAATCTAACCAATCCGAGTCCACTGTTTTCAGATTTAAGTTGGCGCCACAACAAGAGCACAGAGCCTTAACGCCTCGCAAGGCATGCGCTGTAACTAACTTCTCTAGCTTCGTCAAGACAAATTTGATACTTTTGCTTAGCGTTCCCGTAATCTTTCTTGTCTCTACACAAGCAATTCATATCTATATCTCTGGAAACAGCGAACAGTCAAAGCATTCATGGAGATCAGCAAACCTGGTGCGCCGAGATAAATTCCATTCCACGGGCGATATCAGCTGAGAATTGGTAAAGTTGTCGTTCTGGTATCTTTGATGGCACTTCCTTGCTTTTTAAATCATAGAAATCATCATTTTCTCCATTGCTTTTTCTTAGATATCCAAGAAGATCGCCATGAGGAACAAATTCCAGGATAACAAGAGGTGGTCCTTTTAAAAAAGAAAGGGTAGAAACTTATGCCTCGTCCACACGTATCCGATTTTTTTTTGAATCCGCAACTTTTCCTTTGAGGATTCGGCTTCCGTCCACACGTGTCCGGTGAATCCACCATACAAATCCGCAACTTTTTGAATCCGCTCTCCAAAGTAGAAATTTTTTAATACGCTATGAATACGGAATCGTGTGGGCGCCAAATCCGGATATTTTTTATCCAGTGACGTAACAAAATCGAGCCCAGTTCTTTACCGTGAATACCGTAGAACCTCTATTCAGGGGACACCCTCGGGACCAAGGCAAAGGTTTCCTTATTAGAGGTTGGGCTGGGTTTTGTTAGTAATTAACCAAAAAATAAAATATATTTCTTTTATTCTGCCTTGGAATCTGCTGAAGTCATTATTTCAAGTAGCTACATAATAATAAAAAAATCATGGCATTGATTAACTTAAAAATATCTTTGCATTGTTGTGTGTTGAATTCCCACAAGTGCAGTACACCGATTTTAAGTGAGATAGTTCATGTTACTTTGAAATCTGTAGCCGTTGTAACTAGTGAACACTTCAATTTATCAGCAATTTTTGTGATCAATCACTCTAGTTTGAACGCTAAGGTGTCCCACTGAATGAAGGTTAACCCCGAGTTTCGGAACCCAGAAAAAGTGTCCCTTTTTCCTGAAAAGAGGTGACCCTTCAATTAATAGAGGTAACAAATGCAAAGATCATGTGAACGTTTTTCCCAGACCAGAGTTTGTGTCCCCTGAATGGAGGTGTCTCATAGGAGAGGTTCCACTGTGTTCAAGATGGTGCCGAGCGCAATGTTGTCGCCTCTGGCTTCTTGGACTTCAGTTTAAAGTCTTATAACGTGTGTGCCGTTAAATCTAGCTATGATTACGATGTCAAACGGCTGCTCGCCATTCTGACGCTTCTTTAATTTCCATGTCGGACGAAAGTTAAACGAGCAAAGTAGTGCTTGAGGGACAATTTTGTCAGCGATACAGTTATTGAAGAAGAATGACGAGAAAACTTCCCATGAGCCAAACATAGCGCTAGCTTTACAAATTAGCTGGGAGACGTCGACTGAGAGTGAATCCGGATACGTGTGGCCGGGCAAACTCGATTATGCTACGTGTGGACGTGGAGATCTTTGAATCCGCAAAGCTAGGATGATTTGCGGATTCAAAAATATCCGGATAAGTGAGGAAGGGGCCTTAATCAAGAGAAAAACTGCAATTACTATCTCTGAGATAACCGCAAGCTTACACATGTAGATAGCAAGTTGCTACCTACATGTATGTTCAGAATTCTTATCAATTAGGCCAACATTTATTATCATATTTCAATTTCTTTGTAAGATGTACAGTCGACTCCCGATAACTCCAACCTTCAACGGAAATTGGAAAAAGTTCGAGTTATCCCGAGTTTAAGTTATCGGGAGCTCGAAGAAAATAGCAACCTTTTGTTTTCTAATTATCTATTTAACTTAACAATCCTATCGAAAGCATTCTAAGCTAAAATTCTTTGCCAATAGTTTTAAAAAAGTACGTTTGAGCGTGCAATAATGTTTGAAACCCAAGAAAGAAAAATTATCTTCAGTCAGAAGTCCCGTTCTGGTCATGAAATCTAGTTGCTGCGGAGCGACCGTAGGGAGCGAACAGCAACATAATCAGGATTTAAGGGAAATATATAAGGTGAGACGAATTCTCGAATTCATCGCTTTTTACCACAATGCATTGCATTTAGCCAGAGTGCACCGCTCCTCTTTTTACCAGAATGCATTGCGCCACGTAAAATTTTAATAAAAACACGAGGAAGTTCGAGTTCCTGTTCAGACTCAGAGTTCTCTTGGCGACAAAGCACGGTTAGAGATCTTACCAAATTTGAGGTACGCAAGAGTCTTTCAGAGGAGTACGATGGTTAACTTGGGGATTGGATTTCAAGAGCCTTTGACTCGTCCAGGCGTTAAACTTGACGAGAAGATGAGCATTTGCTCTTCGACTCCGCAGCAGTGGGGATACTTGCTAGAATTAAGATGATGTGAAAGTGAGACAATGTCATGCCATGCTATTCTTAGGAACCTGTATGAGCCAAAAATGCATGTGATTTTGACCATTAGCTTCAAAATAACAGCGGAAATCGAGATAACCAAACATATGTTTCGCGTCCTACTTTGCAGACGAGGACGTGTATCGGCGTTTGGCAAAGCATAATTGTGTTCTTTCATTCATTCATTGCCATGGAATGCATTTACATTGTTTTTTTTTTTCTTTTTACTGTTAATAGCTCGGTTAATGCGGCTCGAGTCCTACTCAGTGCCTTTTCTTTTTTTTCCTTCTTTCTGTCTTTTTTTGTGTTGTTGTTTTCTACACATATATATTCCTAAGTAACTGTTATTTAATAAAGTGCAATAAACAGCAAGAAAAGCATTCCAGAGAAAAATAGTACACCGTATATTAAAATTAATATGTGGGTAAACAACCCGAGTTTCTGTCATTACCTACAGTTTACTGTGGGAAACCAGAGTTGAAAACCATTTAATCGTTTTCTGAACAACCTTCCCACGAGTTCTTTCTATATACTGATAGTAATTTTTACATTCCAACATGTAAATTATAAGACATTCAGTGTCATTTTCTTTTAAATCTCACGCAAGCAGATGGATCACTGCCTAACTAATGTACATGTCAATATCAACAGAATGGGCCGCAGCATTAATATCTTTTAGATACCATAGTATGTACTTCCTCCTCTTTACTTTTGCTAAACGATTTAAATCTTGCAGCGGAAGAGGTTACATGAATATTGCTCCTTAACAGCGCTGAACTTAGAGGAAGTGATCATACCTTTTACAACAGAATAACTACTTTTCAGTATTAACTTTATCTTTTTTTAAGCATGAACTTACTGAACTCCGTCTTTTCCCGACATCGCACCACATCTTTGGTCACACAGCCCAGCAATCGTATGACGTTAGGATGAGGTTTAAGCTTCTTCAACAAGTCCAGTTCAGACAAAAGGTCCTTGAGATCAGACTTGGAAGATTTTTCTACAATCGAAATATAACTTTCATTTGTGTGAAATGGTTTGTGGGGTTGTTTGGCCCATGACTGTCCACTCTTGTCAACTGCTCGGAAGAGAAATTAGACAGGACAAAAAAGAAGCAAAGCCTCTCGAAAATGAGCAGGTTTTCCAGAATAACCAATAAAACAATGGGCAAAATTTAGTTTTCTTTTTGCTCTAGTATTATTTTGTACCCCGCTATGGCTAGATTTTTCTCCGATTGCAACTCTTAGTGCTGTGCCACTTTGAGGGGTGTGCCTTGTAAGGGTATTAAAATCAGAGAAATTTGAAAACAAAGTTGACATTCCGCGACGACACCATGACCATTTTCCCCTATTCATGAAATGACATCCGAGGAACGACGGCAGAATTCCATACTGACGACACGTGCCTCTGATTGGATGAAGTAAATTTTGAACCAATCAGAAGCACTATCCTGATGTCGTGTCATCAGAATGGAATTTCTTCGCTCCTTCCTCAAACTTTTTCGGCTGTTTTCTCAGGCTAAGAAATTGAGAGTAGCATTTACAAGGATTGAAGTGAAAAACTCGTTCTATTATTCTAATGGTAGGGAAATTTAGCGTCGTAGCTTAGAATATTGAAGTTTCCAGTTTAATGTATCCAATTTAAGTTGGACTAACTCTGGTATCTGTTTTGTTTTTTGGCCTTTTTTTTTTTTGGAATCCCATCTATAACCTGCAGGTACTAACCAGTGCTCTAAAATTTGTAGATTTAATAGCCAGTGACGGGGGTCTCACCTCACCTTTAAGCATTTTAACGGCCACCACGGACCAGCTTTTGGCACCATTCACTTCCCACGCCGCACCCTTCCACACTTGGCCAAACGACCCACCACCGATTCTTTCAAATAATGTCAAATGATTGCATGAAACTTCCCAGTTGGTGTTAGAAAGCACTGGCGTGTATGGGGATTCAACTTTGCTATGCGGCTTCAATGTAGAGCCAGCTTTCCCCACTGTGTTCTGGTAGAAAGACTTTAGACATTGATCATTCTGATAGCCGGTGGCTCCGCGAAAAGCTATCGTCCGCGGGCTGGTACAACTTGATCGCTCAGCCATTCTAGTTCGTGTATCTGTACATCGCGTATTTAACGGTGGCAGAGTTAATGATGAATCCTTATGTTGGAAGCCTTCAGTGACACTTTTACCCATAATCTTCAACCTTGGTTTTGGCCGAGGCCTAGATTGGAAGGTATGGGCTTTTCTATCGTGAGTGAAGCGACTGGTTTGAGCCCTCACTTGCAAATTTTCACTGTCCACTGGTTGAAGGTAATTCTCAGAATTTGAATTTTGATGGCATACACCAGTTTCAAATTGATTTCTCTGAAAGGTTTCTGACTCCCTGACTGCTCTCGTTTCCTGATTGATCTCTTGAATGCTTCCGTCCATTACTGCACCTGTTCTCTTACTAGTTTCCATGACAGCTTGGTTCCCAGTAATAAGAGCCTCACTATCCCTTATTCCTTTGATAACACTGCGATTTTCAATTGTTTTCACAGCACCGGATTCCTGATTTGAAGTAACTGCTCGAGTGAGATCGTTCGCTTCTGGATGGAATGATGTCAGTGCAAAAACTCTGCCAGCGCTCCTCTGTTCACTTTTCTGTCCGACTTGACTTTCTGTCACCGTTGCTGACAATTGTTCTGAAGCCCTGTTCGATTCTGAGGTACCTTCTGGCAATTCTGAAGACGTCACCGAGTGTCTTTCATTCATACCATTTCCTTGAACCTGCAATAAATAAGTACAGTCAAACCCCGTTAAATAAATACGCACACTGAGGGAACTATAGAAAGTGTCCGCATTAAGCGTGTTGAAGTTAGAGAAAATATAGGACAAAGCAAACTGTCCGTAATTCATGAAAATATTTATGAAAGCAAACCGACGAGACTCGGGGAATAATAGACTGCAAAACAGTCGGTTTTTTCCTCAAAATCAGTAAAGAAATCGGTAAAGCGGGGCGTAAGAGTTTTACGCGTCTCTCCCCAGTCTCGCTCTCTGTTTTCACCCTCGTTCCGGACCTTTTGTTTGACTGCTCGCGCGTACTTGAATACGCAAAAATACGGACTGTTTTGCAGTCTAGGGGAATGAAGGTGGGCCCTAATAAACTGAAACATGATCATCTTATCATTTTTTACGATCCAAAAGTAGTAAATTAAAAAAGAGGACGAAAACCATTCAGTGTTGGCAGTGCTACAGGGTGGAAACTAAAACGACCCCGAATTTTTTAAGGGCAGGACTGGCTAACCCTCTAGCGAAAAACCTTCTGAATACATTAATACTGAAACGCTGCTAAGCAATCTCTACAAAATGAACGGCGTTTTTAAAATACTTTTATCTAAAAGAAAAAAGTGGCGTAAGAAATGAAAAAGGGAATCTCACCAAATCAGAGGATCTATTCTCTTGGAATGTAAAGTATAATCTTGTTATTCTGAAAAATATAAATAAGGTATTTTTTCTTGCGGCATAAAACAGATAGTATAGGTTACAATTTTTTTTTCTAGTATTCGTTTCGAAGTCATCTATTTACGATTGATAGGGCCCTCAGCTTGGCTGAAAATGACCGTATAGCCGGGAAAGAGTTTTGCATTCTAAGTGGCGCTATAAAGTTTGTATCTGTTCGGTCCAGTCCTGGGGCAACGTGAGTCTTTTCGAAATTAGAATGGCTTCAGTATTATTTTCCCAAAACTTTAGATTCAATTCCAAGTTTCACAAAGGTTAAAATATTACTGATTCCTTTAATACTCCATCAAATTTCCAATCCTAAAGTATTAGATTTCCTTTTTCTTCGAAATATAGCTAGACCTAGGGAGTGAAATGTAAAACATTGGACTTCAGAAAATCGTAGCAAATTTCTCTTAGATAAGCCTCGATAATTGTTCATGAATGGAACTGTCATCTAGAAATTTCAAGCCGTCCACCATGCCACTTACGGAAAATTTTAAGTAATCTGATTTAATTTGCTTCTTCAAACAGATATTTTACAGAAAGCAGTCTTTAATTGGGTTCCCCTGTTACAATTTCGCCAATGAAAAGCAACTAGTCACTGTTCTGCGTTTTTTTTTAAAGTTAGTCATGATTTCATGATTTCTTAGTGCACCTATGGGAATAAAGACGTTGTATTAACACTACTGAAATGACGATAGCAAAATTACGTTTTTAGATCGCGGTGCTTTGAAAAAGTGAAAAAGCCCATGCATGCATGGTAATGCGCTCGCTCACAACTGACACAGTAGATAAATAACGCTTTTTCCAAATCTCCCAGTAGACACACACACGTTGAAGTCTGTGGACTGTCACTTACTCCTTTTCTAAGCAAAAATTAAAGTCAAAATGTTTCTGTTTCTGTTCAAGTAAAATCTATTTTTTAAATGAATTGAATCCACAACCCCACGATGAAAGACGAATGACGGATAAACGTTTTCTTCAAAATATAAAATACATACGCTCTGATTTCTTGATGACCTGTTAAATTCGAAAAGAAAGAATCAGTGTTAGAATCTGTGCTCAAAATGTCCTTGTTTGTGTACGTGGAGATATCTACGTACCACATATACGCAATGACATTTCATCAAGCCTGTTCGCTATTAGCAATTTACTGATCGAGCAACAAATTGAGTAATGAAATGTTAGCTGATTCGCCCCATGGAAGGTCTGTAAGGTATCTATCGCCCCATGTTAGGTATTCATAGCCAGTATATAGACAGTCTGGGATTGTGTTTTCTTGTCAGTGGAACCTGGATTCGCGATTCTTGTATCAGGACAGAGATTACTATGGATATCATGCAATAATTGAGTTATTTTTTGAAAGAACAAGAATGACATGAACTGTGAAAAATTTAGTTAACTTACGTTGTTCTTTTTCCTTTCTACAAACAGATTTCCTGCGTAAACAAAAGATTCCTCCTAGAAGCAAGGAAGATAAGGCAATGGGAATCATAATGCTTAGGAGGGTGACGTTATAATTCTTCTCCTCATCTTTCCTGCTAGCCCTGTCCGTTGGTGACATCCCTGTTGCAACCTCTGTTAGAGAAAAAACAGATGATATCAAAACATCTTCTCCCCTCTGAGAAAAGTAAACCAAACTATACTGGTGATGTAAAGCAGTATTTGTCACAGCTCGTAGCCAGAGTTAAAGCCGGTAACGCAACCAAACGGAGGCTGGCCGTATAGTAGACTGTTCAAGAGAAACGCTAGTTTATTCTAAAAGAAACTCCTTTATAGAGGCTTGTATAGTAATTTCTTTCACCCATGAAGAGACAGCTCTTACATGTAAATTAATACTGAACAAAACTACAATATTTTTACGAACGAGTTCTCCCCAAAGGGTTTAATAAGGTTTCCCAACTACACGAACAATACAATAAAGTTGGCGCAAACTTAATGACCCAAAAAGGTGGTAAGTTCTCTGTAATTGAAACTTTACATAACGGGTCTTTGATCAGTGGTCACCTTCTATGTCAGAGTGTATACGTATTTCCCTTTATTGTACATGTTCAGCTGGGCAAAGTAACACTTGGTAGCCGCTAACAGAGATGACGACAATAGGGGAACTCCAGCTGGGATGGCCAAAAGGGGGTGGGCCTGGTCGTTTGATGGAGGTGGCCGCTTGGTTCAATTTACAATTATATGATACAATTGTATTTTTAGCGGTCCTCTTAACATTCAACTTTATTTAGGCCACAGCCATTTCAAACGGCATACATTTCAATCTCTCCGCAGCAACTTGTAATGTTGTTTGGCAATCCTAGAATCCTATGCACTTTTAAAATAGGTCTCCAATTACTGGTAAATTATTCATGTCATAGAGCAGGCAAATTTTTCCGAATATTTTTTTTTTATTTCTTGTAACTGATGAACTTATCGTACTTGTGTGAAGTGACTTAGCTGTTGTCTTGGTTCTCCGATTGGTTACATCCACAAAATTTGTAGATATTATCAATGTTTTGCTACTTTGTAATTCACTTTCGCCCCATTCGTTCCAAGCTGTTACTGCGAACATGTAACGTTTATAGGCAGCAAGTTCTATGTGGTACATAAAACCAGAAACATTTTTTCGTAACCAGGATTCCTTGTGAATCATATCCTTGTCTGCCACCTTTGTCATGTGCAACACTCGGTGCCAAGCTGTATAGGTCGTCACCAAGCGTCCCTCACTGTAAACCGCTGACCACCGAAGAGTCCAACTAGAATTCACGACTTTTGTGTTTGTGTTAAGAATCGTCGGGCTTGCAGGGAGAACTTAAGATAGAGAGAAGAAAATGTTATGATGTAGAAATACCTATTTAAGGGACCACTCTTGCAATACATCAGAACAAAACCATAGGTGTATTTGCAACCATGAAAACATACGTAATTCACTGGCTTTGTGGAGAGGTATTTTTTCTTCAGATTAAGAATGAAAATATGAAGGCTTAGTTTTTCAAGTTGTGTAATTGTTTTCCGAGCAACTTGTTGTTAATTCTACTAGAAATTAGTACTGACTCATAATTTTACCATCGTAAGAATTCCCATCCCTTAAGATCTTAACTGCATGATAGCATGATTTTGAAATCCCAGCTGACAAGCCATATTCTCCATGTTTAGCATTCACATTAAGCATTTCGCGATCAGTGCTTCAAAATTCCATTGAAATATTGTTAATCGTGATCTTAAAACGGTTTTCCTTTGTCGCACCACGAAATTCTGCTGAAAAGCTCATTGATTTTATCAATTACAGAAAGGAAATCGAGTCTCTTGTTTTCCATTCAGTATTGCTTAGGTTATCCAAAACTATATTATGAAAAAGGCCGCTTATATGCCGATTGCTATTCATTATGACAGGATTTTTTAGTCTCACAGCTTTACTAGGCTAACTACTAACTTCTGAGAAAAACATTTCTTCTGTCTTCTCCGGCTTCGTTTTGGGTGACACAAGTGTACTCGCCCCAGTCTTTTTGAGTGATATTAAGTAGCCTGATCACCACAGTGGAAGTACCGTTACCATGGTTGCTGACGACATTTCGTCCTCTGTGCCACGTGACACTGAGAAAAGATAACCCGCTGGCTACACAACTAAGGTTTACATTTTGTCCCGTTCTAAGGATCGGTGGTGTGGTGATGTCGGTGATTCGTGGCAAATCTGCAATGGCTAGAAACAAATTCATGGCAAGAGAATGGATCAACTTTCAACTTTTTACTACTAGAATCATACTCTTGGTTAAACCGCTGATTCTCGCTTTCAACTGGAGGCACTTTCCATTCAGCCCAAAATTCCGGAAATTTTATTAGAAATGGCAAATAAGACAGACCCGTTTTGGTTCAGTCCCACCGGAGTATCTGGGACCAACTTTGAAAGTAGTCAAATTTGACCTTTCCGGTCATTAATATTTCAGGTGGTCGGTCGGAATGAAATGTCCCTTTTCATTTGACGTAATTGTTGTCCACAGAACTGCTCTTCTGTATCCTGCTTACAATTACAATAACCAAACGCACGGTGGCCTGGGTCGGGCCTGTGCAACCGAAATGTATCGTTCCATAGCGCATGTCGAATTTCCGAAATTTCAAACACGAATTTTTGTTGAATGGAAAGTGACCCCTGATCTAAAGATATTTCCCTTTAAACAGAAAGCTCAAGTTACACTATAATTTAATGCATCGAAGATTTTTCAAGGGCGTTCGCAGCTGTATTAAGAAGTCATGGCGCCAAGATGGATGTCCCCTTTCCCGGGCGTCGGTTACATTTTTCCTGCTCAGCTTCGCTCGACATTAGCAGCACGACTTATAGAAATGTCAACGTCTACTGCTTTAGAAATGTGGCCTAATCAATGCCATTCCGAGTCCCATTAACAGCTAACAAGATAGGAAATATAGGATGCACCAAGGGTGGGATGGACTCTTAACCACGTTGAATAATTAAAGCAACAGGACACAAAACGTTAGCGACAGGCATACATTCAGGGGCACCCAATGGATCTGTTCCTCAAAATATCTGTTCTTCAGGCACATTTTTGCTGGCTGGGAGATGTGGAAGAAATAATAGTCCTTGGAAGGAAAGTGTTGCTGGGAAAAAGATAATTCAGGGTGTCAGAGGGGATTTGAAGTCTAGAATAGCTGCTACGGGTCACTTGTATGGGTTACTTACCACTCAAGATCTGAATTGTGCCCTATGAAACTTCCCAGTAAGTCAGGTTGCAGGTTGTAAGTTTGCTGGCTGGGAACTCTTCTATCAGTCTTGCTGGGAGTGAGGAACAGATAATTTTTTTCCAGCAATCTCCCAAAATGCTTAAAATAGTCTCAGAAAACTTTATTCACGATTTGTTGTTGTTTTTAGGTCTTTTTCTCAAAATTTCCCGTTGGGTGCCCCTGTACTTTGGATACAGACCTTCTGTGTTGTAGGCACATCTACAATCAATAGAATGCAAATAGTTTTATGCTTTATGGAACTCCTCTGAGTCAGTTCAGCTTAAAAATTATCTCATGATGCTCACGCATTTGCAATGAAACATCCGGTGGTCTCCACGTTAAGTCAAAGAGAGAAAAGTTGGTGAAGGATTTTCATGAATCCCAGATCGCTTAGAAGCTAAAAAGATGAACAAGCAGGCAACCAAGTTAAAAGAATGCGATGCCTCATATAATGATGTGAGGCAATTGTGTGAGGTAAGCAGGGTGGGAAAACATGCTTAACTGGGCGTCGCCACCAAATGGGAAGGTATACGTACGAATAAATGTGGGAACTATACTGAAGACGCCAAAATAATTTTCTTATAGTTTGGTTTTAAATCGTTCCTTTACCCCAATTGCAAAATCGTCGGCACTGATCAGAAGTTCGAGGAGTTCAAGTAGTTGATATATAAGGGAGTCGACATAAAAAGCATGGTATCATGAATTCATCGCTCATATTTTAATTCATCTATATTTTATGGGGAGTTAACAAAAACGAAAAAATATATATATATAAATAGCCACATGCTTCTACCTACGTTTTGCCACGACTAGAAGTTGGACTATGTCTTTCAATGGATTGTCCGCGAGTCCAAACTCAACTTGTATACCAAAATCCACATTTCCGTCGGCCGGCTGAACATTATATAAAACAAAAACTGCCAGGGAAGATGTCAGATTTCCATCCCAACTCACCGCTGTCTCGTAACCTGCGCTTACACTTATGAACCCCTTTGAATCGACTGCTATAAGCTTTGGATGCAAGTAACCAGGACTTTTCCAGTAACCAAAGACGACCTCAAAGAGAGTTAGATGTGAAGGCTTATAGTACCGCCAAACCAATGAAACGTTATCGCCAATAAAGACCTTGGTCGGCTTATCTGGAGTAGAAATCATTCTCTGTCGATCTCCTGTTGATAAAATACCATAGATTAACATGGTGCATGGTTCTGATTGGCTTAGTATCTCGTATTGATCACAAGGTACATCCATTTTCTGGTAGCCTATCGGATATGTGACAGCTGGCGCGCACGAACCAAGGGGCCCCAGTAACACAGGACTCTCGGTTTCAAAGGCATGAACCACGTTGAAGTATAAATACTCGGCTTCGTTCAACTTGACTAGATTTCTGGTTCGTTCAAAAGAAGCAAAGTGGTTTTAAACACTGAAAAACTATGGTTGAAGCGCAAGATAAACTCCAAATAAAGCTATCGACAGATGGCAAACAAAATTAGGAAAAACTGTTTGAATGCAGAGGTCCACGCAACGTGTCAATGTAACTGACTGGTTCCTCTTGCCGGATCTCTAATTAAAGAGATGCTGTAGCCAGACGTCGAATACTATTGACCGACAATATACAGAGCGGGGGCAGTTTTAGTGTCAACTATTACTTGTTAATACTAGATAGAATAATATACGGGTAAATGATTATGCAATAAAATAGAAATAGAAACAGTTCAATGTTCATTCCCTCGTTTCAGACCGTTTGCCTCTCCTTTTTTTGGAAATGCCTTAATTGACCTTCCGCGGAAGTCAGTGTTAACACATGGCCCGCACTTTTTTCTTAATTCGCTTTAAAGATACAAGAAAAAAAGGAAACTCTCTAAGTGAGTGGTCAGGTGACCAGAGAACTTGATCAAGTGATTTACAATGAATAGAAACCAAAAAGGCTGTCGTGTTAGTCAGAGTAAAGGAAGCTATGACAGTGATCAGCACACTAAATTGTTGGTGAGATATGGATATTACTGTCAAACCTGACGTATTTTCTGACTAGACAAGTAAAAAAGAATATACTTCTACCTCATGCGAGAAGGCAAAAATATGACTATAGTCTGCTAGAACAATATATTTAAGAAAATCTGTAAGCTTCTAGCTGCAGATTTGAAAAAAGTGAAAGCGCAATTGCCCTAAGGCACATAAAGACCTACAACAAAGTTTCATTGTGTCAAGACCTACCTGATATTGTTGAGTAACGGCCACTTAGTGCAAGAAAAGCAATTATGGTCAAACTCTGCCAGAATCCCATTGTCAGACGTTATTTAGTTTTCAGTTAGCAGCTATTCGAGAAATGTTTCGTCTATAGGTGATGAGTGCCATTGACGAAACTAGTTTACGTATGGAGTAAATAAGGCTGCATAACTTTGAAGTGCAAACACGGAATGGAATCTTTGTAAAGATTGAACGTCTTCCCACGAACGATTGATGCAGTCTAAGAGACGCGGATACGCTAATCTCGAGAAGGGGAACTACCGAAACCGTTATCTTCAGATTTCACAGGAATGGAACTCGAAATCCACGATAAGGACAGGTTGCAACTCTTAAGAAGTTTGTTACGATTTACACCAGTTTCCAAGAATTTTACGCCTGGCTAGTTTCTAGGAAAAAGTGAGGTCAAAAGAGATCAAACCCACCCAACAACAGGAAACCAATCTTGAAATAATCGGTTCTCTTGTTAGCGTAGGGATCGAATATCATATTCCACTAACGTTTTTTAAAATTTGTCTAGTTGTATGGCTTGTAGAGTAACGACTATGACAACGTTCTAATTTATTTAACATTTTTAGTCCACCGCTTTAGTTGTTGTTCGGTTAGTTTTGAAATTCAGTTTCGTAGTTAGGCGGTCGGTTCGATCTTTTGCTGCGCTTTGCTCGGCTTAAGTAAATACATACCCATTTAGTAGAGTTTCAATGATTTGAAAAAGATTTTTTGACGAAAACTCTTGGCTTTAAGCCGAGAACCTTGCTAGGGCTCAAATTTCACATAAATTTAGCTTGGCTTTAGCTGAATAAATGCGGTAAATAAAAATATTGTCGTCTTAATCCCGATAAGAAAAGTGTTATGATGATAATAATGATAATGATGATGATGATGATGGTGGTGGTGGTCAGGTGTTGGTGGTTGTGATGACGATAATGACGACGCAACAGAACTTTGACAACTGTGTTTCTACGTACGGCCTCCCTTATTGAGGGTGGAAAAGATCGATCCCGGATCAATAAAAAGAAAAACAGGAAATAGTTGATGATAATGGTCTCTTACTAAGTAAAGTGGAAAAGAGTTTGAAGATAAGAGGCAATTAACGAGGGGTTCAGTTATTGACGTAATTATTATCTTCACAAACGTTGAAATTCATGTATTAAATTTCTTCCGCTACGTTGATATGATAAATACGTCCATTAAGTTCAAATCAGTGCACATGCAGTTACATTAAAAAAGACAAAATGGGAGTAGCTTCCTTCCTGTCAAAACGTCTTGCTTGATTGTTATTTTAAGGCCTTTTTGTCTTCTCACAGCTAAATGTATATAAATAACCGAGAGATAAAACCTGCAAAATGGACGACTAAAGTCGAAATATTGGAAATTTAGTCATCGGAAACTCATGCAGTGATTCCCAAATTAAGAAAACATCCCTTGGTAAAACAGGGGTCTAGTTTTTGAGTCAAGTTCTTACCTGACGTAAACATTCTCTCCATTGCAAGAAGAAAATAAAGGCCGACTAAAACATCCTTGGCAGATTTGCACCGTATTTCCATATCAGGTTTGCTTTTGAAGGAGCACAGAAGATTGTTAACAAGGGGACGGGTAAGACAAAGATAACTGGCGGTATTCACCAACGGTCATATATAGCGCGAAAATGCCGTAAAAAACATTGGTATTTTGATTCTCCCTTCGATGAGAAGGGCTTTCGAACGATCGAGCACTTTTCTTGTAAATGGCCAGGGTTCTTTTTTTTACTCATCCAACTAGAACCCTAAGCTACACCAGCTAGGAAAATGAACTTTTGGGTTGCCATTAGATTCCATCGACCGAAGCCCCTTCAGACACCTCATGAATACACAAAGTGGTTTTGAATGGGAGGTTTTCTCGGAAAAGCCACTCAAAGGCCAGTAAGAGTTTATTTTCGTTTGCGGAACATTTCACAGAACTCTTCTGTTTTTCTGACATACAAATATATCAAAAGTTCTGGTGCACATGAGAAGGACGGCTTCAATAATAGGCCATTTGCACGATGGCGTTATTTTACTACTGTAACTACTACAGTAACACCTTTTTGTTTTTCCTTTCATATTTAAATTTTGTAATCCCAGTGAGGTTTGAATAACAAACGCCCTAATTTGCACAAGAAAGCAAAACCTTGAAGGATTCTGGTCGTAGTAGTAAAATGATGTCATAGTGCAAATGGCCTATTGAACAATACTCATGAATATTTTGAGATTACGCATTTCAGGTCAGCAATATTTTTAATTCAATCAGCGGCTGAGAAGGAGACTAACAATCTCCTGCTCGAGCGAAAACGACTGCCGGAAGTGTAAAACTTGGCTTGTATTTCTTATCTACATGTCAGTAAGAAGAAGATAACAAGAGCTATATCACTGTCTTTCTTGGATATTGTATGGGTATTCCCAAATTCAGCATTTTAAAAGGAATGATTTTAAAAAGGCTGTTATCGTAATCCCACCGCGGGGCATGAAAATGGGCAGCTTCCGCAGGAAAGTGAAACAGGAATTGCTTACCGTCCATAGTTGATTAAAATACTGTGGCCTGTATACGATTTTTAGCAAATGATAAGCAAAGACAGACCTAGTAAATTCCGTTCGGGAATCGCGATTATCATTTACTCAAATGAAATCAGTATTTTTACCGAAAAATGTTGCGTAAGCCTGAAAGTGGAATCAAAGCCTGGTTTGAAGAAATAACTTAGGACTGTAATTTGCGTTTGGTAAATTTCGACGACGTCACGAGGAAGCCCTCGGCTGTACCTTTTTTTAGAAACACTCCCATAAATTTTCCATTGAAACGACCCGAAATTAAAAGTCGTATTGCTCGTACTTTCAGACTGGGTTTTTCCGTGAACTTTTTGAAAATGAAATAAAAAACACGGGATAACGTCTATAATATCATGAATTGCTGGAAAAGTAAAGTTAAACGCAAACCGAATAATCACAAATTTCCGGGTAAGAACGGGTTAACAACCGGCGACTCCTGTTGGTCCCCTTAATTCCCCTTGGCTAGTGCGTTGATTGGTTATTGGCGTGGCGGGTAACTTAATATAATGAATTAAATAAATATGTTTTTAGGGTTTTTTCTAGGAAATGTCAAGCTCTGGGAGGCTTGTTTTGTTTTGTTCTGGTTTTTGTTGTTTTCGAGAACTAACTATTCTTAGAAAACGATGCCATAAGAACTTAAAAAAGTACTACTGCACATCAAGTGAACTTAACTGAAAGAGCAATATAATATTTTCTCTGAGGTGGGACATTTTATTAATGATGTGTTTATAATCTGCGAGAGGCAAACTTATGAATTTCTAACAAGATAGCTTCCGCGTCAAAAACATATTTAACGAACACATCCACGATGCTAATACTTTATATCATTCTGAACCTTTGCTTTGCAGGTAAGTTAAACAAAATTTTTAATATCAATCGGTGTTTTTTATGTCCTGTTTTGATACTGGGTCGTTTGGGGGAGAATAGTCTTTACGGCTAAACTGGTCGCGTATGACTATCGGGGATAGAGCGTTGATTTGAAAAAAGTGAAAGCGCAATTGCCCTAAGGCACATAAAGACCTACAACAAAGTTTCATTGTGTCAAGACCTACCTGATATTGTTGAGTAACGGCCACTTAGTGCAAGAAAAGCAATTATGGTCAAAGTCTGCCAGAATCCCATTGTCAGACGTTATTTAGTTTTCAATTAGCAGTTATTCGAGAAATGTTTCGTCTATAGGTGATGGGTGCCATTGACGAAACTAGTTTAGGTATGGAGTAAATAAGGCTGCATAACTTTGAAGTGCAAACACGGAATGGAATCTTTGTAAAGATTGAACGTCTTCCCACGAACGATTGATGCAGTCTAAGAGACGCGGATACGCTAATCTCGAGAAGGGGAACTACCGAAACCGTTATCTTCAGATTTCACAGGAATGGAACTCGAAATCCACGATAAGGACAGGTTGCAACTCTTAAGAAGTTTGTTACGATTTACACCAGTTTCCAAGAATTTTACGCCTGGCTAGTTTCTAGGAAAAAGTGAGGTCAAAAGAGATCAAACCCACCCAACAACAGGAAACCAATCTTGAAATAATCGGTGCTCTTGTTAGCGTAGGGATCGAATATCATATTCCACTAACGTTTTTTAAAATTTGTCTAGTTGTATGGCTTGTAGAGTAACGACTATGACAACGTTCTAATTTATTTAACATTTTTAGTCCACCGCTTTAGTTGTTGTTCGGTTAGTTTTGAAATTCAGTTTCGTAGTTAGGCGGTCGGTTCGATCTTTTGCTGCGCTTTGCTCGGCTTAAGTAAATACATACCCATTTAGTAGAGTTTCAATGATTTGGAAAAGATTTTTTGACGAAAACTCTTGGCTTTAAGCCGAGAACCTTGCTAGGGCTCAAATTTCACAGAAATTAAGCTTGGCTTTAGCTGAATAAATGCGGTAAATAAAAATATTGTCGTCTTAATCCCGATAAGAAAAGTGTTATGATGATAATAATGATAATGATGATGATGATGATGGTGGTGGTGGTCAGGTGTTGGTGGTTGTGATGACGATAATGACGACGCAACAGAACTTTGACAACTGTGTTTCTACGTACGGCCTCCCTTATTGAGGGTGGAAAAGATCGATCCCGGATCAATAAAAAGAAAAACAGGAAATAGTTGATGATAATGGTCTCTTACTAAGTAAAGTGGAAAAGAGTTTGAAGATAAGAGGCAATTAACGAGGGGTTCAGTTATTGACGTAATTATTATCTTCACAAACGTTGAAATTCATGTATTAAATTTCTTCCGCTACGTTGATATGATAAATACGTCCATTAAGTTCAAATCAGTGCACATGCAGTTACATTAAAAAAGACAAAATGGGAGTAGCTTCCTTCCTGTCAAAACGTCTTGCTTGATTGTTATTTTAAGGCCTTTTTGTCTTCTCACAGCTAAATGTATATAAATAACCGAGAGATAAAACCTGCAAAATGGACGACTAAAGTCGAAATATTGGAAATTTAGTCATCGGAAACTCATGCAGTGATTCCCAAATTAAGAAAACATCCCTTGGTAAAACAGGGGTCTAGTTTTTGAGTCAAGTTCTTACCTGACGTAAACATTCTCTCCATTGCAAGAAGAAAATAAAGGCCGACTAAAACATCCTTGGCAGATTTGCACCGTATTTCCATATCAGGTTTGCTTTTGAAGGAGCACAGAAGATTGTTAACAAGGGGACGGGTAAGACAAAGATAACTGGCGGTATTCACCAACGGTCATATATAGCGCGAAAATGCCGTAAAAAACATTGGTATTTTGATTCTCCCTTCGATGAGAAGGGCTTTCGAACGATCGAGCACTTTTCTTGTAAATGGCCAGGGTTCTTTTTTTTACTCATCCAACTAGAACCCTAAGCTACACCAGCTAGGAAAATGAACTTTTGGGTTGCCATTAGATTCCATCGACCGAAGCCCCTTCAGACACCTCATGAATACACAAAGTGGTTTTGAATGGGAGGTTTTCTCGGAAAAGCCACTCAAAGGCCAGTAAGAGTTTATTTTCGTTTGCGGAACATTTCACAGAACTCTTCTGTTTTTCTGACATACAAATATATCAAAAGTTCTGGTGCACATGAGAAGGACGGCTTCAATAATAGGCCATTTGCACGATGGCGTTATTTTACTACTGTAACTACTACAGTAACACCTTTTTGTTTTTCCTTTCATATTTAAATTTTGTAATCCCAGTGAGGTTTGAATAACAAACGCCCTAATTTGCACAAGAAAGCAAAACCTTGAAGGATTCTGGTCGTAGTAGTAAAATGATGTCATAGTGCAAATGGCCTATTGAACAATACTCATGAATATTTTGAGATTACGCATTTCAGGTCAGCAATATTTTTAATTCAATCAGCGGCTGAGAAGGAGACTAACAATCTCCTGCTCGAGCGAAAACGACTGCCGGAAGTGTAAAACTTGGCTTGTATTTCTTATCTACATGTCAGTAAGAAGAAGATAACAAGAGCTATATCACTGTCTTTCTTGGATATTGTATGGGTATTCCCAAATTCAGCATTTTAAAAGGAATGATTTTAAAAAGGCTGTTATCGTAATCCCACCGCGGGGCATGAAAATGGGCAGCTTCCGCAGGAAAGTGAAACAGGAATTGCTTACCGTCCATAGTTGATTAAAATACTGTGGCCTGTATACGATTTTTAGCAAATGATAAGCAAAGACAGACCTAGTAAATTCCGTTCGGGAATCGCGATTATCATTTACTCAAATGAAATCAGTATTTTTACCGAAAAATGTTGCGTAAGCCTGAAAGTGGAATCAAAGCCTGGTTTGAAGAAATAACTTAGGACTGTAATTTGCGTTTGGTAAATTTCGACGACGTCACGAGGAAGCCCTCGGCTGTACCTTTTTTTAGAAACACTCCCATAAATTTTCCATTGAAACGACCCGAAATTAAAAGTCGTATTGCTCGTACTTTCAGACTGGGTTTTTCCGTGAACTTTTTGAAAATGAAATAAAAAACACGGGATAACGTCTATAATATCATGAATTGCTGGAAAAGTAAAGTTAAACGCAAACCGAATAATCACAAATTTCCGGGTAAGAACGGGTTAACAACCGGCGACTCCTGTTGGTCCCCTTAATTCCCCTTGGCTAGTGCGTTGATTGGTTATTGGCGTGGCGGGTAACTTAATATAATGAATTAAATAAATATGTTTTTAGGGTTTTTTCTAGGAAATGTCAAGCTCTGGGAGGCTTGTTTTGTTTTGTTCTGGTTTTTGTTGTTTTCGAGAACTAACTATTCTTAGAAAACGATGCCATAAGAACTTAAAAAAGTACTACTGCACATCAAGTGAACTTAACTGAAAGAGCAATATAATATTTTCTCTGAGGTGGGACATTTTATTAATGATGTGTTTATAATCTGCGAGAGGCAAACTTATGAATTTCTAACAAGATAGCTTCCGCGTCAAAAACATATTTAACGAACACATCCACGATGCTAATACTTTATATCATTCTGAACCTTTGCTTTGCAGGTAAGTTAAACAAAATTTTTAATATCAATCGGTGTTTTTTATGTCCTGTTTTGATACTGGGTCGTTTGGGGGAGAATAGTCTTTACGGCTAAACTGGTCGCGTATGACTATCGGGGATAGAGCGTCGAGTAAGCGGCAGCCCAGAATACTAATTTATGCATGCATTTCGTTAACTATAAAACAAAACGACAAAAAGTATACTTCCTTTGATGTTATGGTTACATGGTATCCTGAAATTCAGGATTCTCGTTATGATTATAAAAAATAAAAGAGAAAACCGACTGCACTCAAAGCGAGCTGAATCAAACAAAACGATGACACTGCGACATCGGTTTTCGCTTGCAATTTAACGTGGTATTCAAGAGACAGGTAACCTGACGTACATCTTCCGCGTCAGCTGTCGCTTCGCTGCCTGTGATCGAAGTCGTCTAGGTTAGATTCAATCGGCAAGTTGGCAAAGAAAACTGTATTTAAATTTAACAAATTAAAGAAATCACCCGTTACATTATTTATATTTCATCGAGCTATCACAGAATCGCAGAAAAGTTCTTCTTGCTTAACAACTTTTCAATAACATAAAATTTTACACTCAACGAATTCTAGGAATATTTTGCGGTAAACAAGATTTTTCTCAGAATTTTTCGTTTGCATGCAGGTGTCGTCAGCATAAATTAAAAACCATATCAACGATCACAAGCGTCAAATCGAGAGATTGTGAACCTTTTGTTTTCGTCTCAGGGTCATAAGGCAGCATTTGTTTGTACACCCTTTAAGTACTTCCCATTTTTCTGGGAAAACTATTATTAGCGACACATTGTATTAAAACTGGCCAAGGTTAAGAAGTTGGGGAAATCAGAAATCTTGGATTGCGGGAATCTGGATACGGACCGTAAGGCCATCACTTTCTTTTTTTTCCGTTTAGCGTCGAATGCTGTCCCTGATATTGGGTTGGTCGGTCGATCGGATTAAAAAAAAAAAAACAAAACAAAAAAACTGAAAAAAAAAATTCACAAGAAGTCTTGGAATAGGATGCCCTGATACCCCAGGACGACGTTAAAAGTTAACATTTACATATTTGGATTAACAAAATACACAATATACTGTAAAAAATGTTCCTGTTTTTGTTCCCGTTTCTCTATGCTGTTACTATGCTCATCTTTCAGATTAAAAGAATTATTTTAATTAAAAAATGTTTTAACTAAGTCGTTACTTTGGCTTTTTTTTTTTGAAAACGCCAAAAATTTGGGTCGGTGAGACGACGCTAAACGAGGGAAAAAAAGGATGGCCTGAGTAGGTTGAAATGAATATTCTGCGGCCTTGTTACACCGAATGCAATAAAGTTTTTGGCGCTGGTCTCTAACTCATGAACGAGCGAAAGTAACCTGCATTAACACTTCAACCGAGTGCGGTTTGTCCAATTGCATGTAACAAACTAAGCTGATTATTGAGCCGTCGTTAAATTCTTTTTAACTGGCCAGTATCACACCAGCAACAGCGTCCGAGGATTGTTTCAGGACCGAGTCATCCCGTGATTGGAAAAAAGCAAGAAAACATAACATTTGCCTGGACTTTCAAACTCCTCCCCGGAAGGACTTGGATCGAGAGCGTGGAAGATGTGGCTTTCGGGTTCTGGAAAGCGCCCGGGTATCTGAAGACAAAACTCATGGTTATCGGCAAATATGGGAAAGTATTGACTCGGCAAAACTACGGGAACAAAGTAAGCTGCACATTCAACATGTCTGTTCTGCGGGTCGCATTCACGGTTCATAATCTAAGCGCAGGAGATGAGAATGATTATGGTCTTCACATTGAGCTTGGCTTGGCACGGAATCCGTTAAAAGATGTCGTGGCGCTTCGCTTAGAGGGTAATATCATATTAATTTGATCATAAATAATATCACATTATTAAAAATAAAAAGTATGGAAATTCACTTACACTGAGCATAAAAAGCATATTAGTTCTTTCAGTGCAGTTGGAAATTTCATCTTTTATTTCACGACTTATTTAGGTAGGCAGGGATTCTTTTAGTTGTACAAACTTTTGTGAGAACAATCCTTTTAGTTGATGCAAAGTTTGTCATATCCTGTAAAGCGTCATCCATCTTAACATTGAGCTGATGAAAGTGCCCTTTAGCTGACAAAAAGGTTATTCAAAAAGCTGACCGTACGACGCACTCAAGTAGATTAAGGCCTGGGTCTTAACAGATTTCTCACAATTTTTAAAGGGGGATGGTGTAATGAAAAGTATTTTCCCATCAGATAAAGAGCAACCCGTTGACCTTTTGTAGGTCCAAAAAGCTAGCTACTAACAGTCTTCTAGTAAAAGCGATAAGAATGAGACGAGGTCAATAAACGTCTTTCCCCTGACGAATATTCTATTCAGCGGAGGACTTGCGTTAGACAATGAACGCCAATTGACCACTACAGAAAATACCATAACATACCATAATGCTCTTTGTTTGTCACCCCAAAATTTTGCTTAAGCATTGTTTTCAGTTTCTCTTGGGAGTTAAAATGGCCCCAAGAGAAACTGAAAACAATGCTTACCCAAATTTTTTGGGTGACACACAAAGAGCAGTATGGTATGTTATGGTATTTTCTGTAGTGGTCAATTGCACCTGCCAATGGGCCATTTACACAATGACGTCATTTACTACTAAGACCAGAATTCATTTCGTTTTTCCTTTCATATTTAAATTTGGTAGTCCCAGTGAGGTTTATTTAACAAAAACCTTAAGTTGCACAAGAAAGCAATACCCTGAAGGATTCTGGTCGTAGTAGTAAAATGACGCCATCGTGCAAATGGCCTATTGTAACGCTCCGAAGCATTCCAAGCTGATTTCGTAGACACTTTGTAGGGTCAATGTTTTGATACAGAGAAACTGGAGCTACTCTTTTGGCAAGTGATGGGAATAGTTGGTCACAATTTTTGAGCAATAGAGGGCGTGGTCGGTTACGTGACCAAATAATTTGAATTTCTTTTTTTCCAGTTTTTTTAAAGTTTATTATCTATCATTCCTCGTGGATGTCTTTAACAATAGTTTTTGGAATAAAAACCATAAATGACTTAGACCCAGGCCTTAATCTACTTGAGTAGGTGAACGTGCCAGCCTGATGGACTTAGTGTACTCGTTTATGAGATTAGTGGAGCTAACTTTTCTTTGATAATGTTTATCGCACATTTAAAAACTGGTAGATCCACCAAAAGTTGTCAGTTCCCTGGAAAGAAACATTTCCCTGAGGGCTGGAGACGAACTGGTATTGAACTGCAGGGCGACTGGACTTCCTCGTCCGCAGATCTCGTGGTCACGATCTGGAAGAGTTTTTAGAAATCATACCTTAGTCGTAAGCCGAGTGAACAAAAAAGACAGTGGGCTGTACCTATGCAAAGCTTACAGTCCTGCAGGGAAAGACAGCATGAAAATTTTTGTTAGAGTTGAGGATGGAAACAACCCAACACAAGCAACAGGTGGGGAGATCTCGTGACCAGGACTGTATACTGTAGTCACATACATGGATCATAACACGGACATTATCGGCTTTTTCCTTTTTTTTTTTTTTTTATTTTTGTCTGCTGCTTCTAGCTGTACGGCCCAGGTCCTCTTATGAAGTTAACATCTAGACTAACTGAATCGTCAGTGTATTCGTTAGCTTGAGTAAGACATGCTATTAAGCTGATTCTGATGTTTCTTGTTTTTTTTAAATTTTATTTTATTTTTTTTTGGAGAGCGATAATAATAATAATAATAATAGTTTATTGATATCCCTCTCGCAGCCTAAAGACTGAATTAACAAGGAAGGTCAGTGACACTAACAGAAGACAATACAATACAAAAACAATCAAATAGATAATTATGTAAATATGATTAAAAGCACTACATATTAGAGAAAAAATAGCAAAGCACAGGATTACAACTGGCCTTGAAACTTAATGGTGCAGAAATATGCGAATCGCTTTGTCTTAAGGACAAGGCGCACCGGAACACGTTCGCCTGAACGGAGGCAGTATGGCCTGTCAATTGACACACAAGGAATTAATGGCTTGAGTACCGGAGACGACAGGCAGTCACGCTTGATAAAATTAGTGCAAGCGTCCTCCCTTATCTGGGAAAGGGCAGTGATGCCAGATTGAATTAGGGCGTCGTCATAGTGACAGTTCGGCAAAACGATGCGTAGGGCCCTTTTTTGATAAATGAGTTGGTAAAAACTCTAGATAAAGTAGGGCCCACCAAAGATAATTATTTCAGTGAGGTTTACTGTAGACACTTACTTCTTTTTCTGGTTTCAGATTCAGCCTCTGGCGCAACACTTTCCCAAGATAACAGTCATGCGTGGATATTGATTGTGATATTGACAGGCTCAACGTTAATACTTGCATCGATAGCATTGGCGGTGACTTTTTATCGCAGGCGCAGACGCCTAAGGAAAGACATTCCTTACTCTTTGCAGAGAGATACAGAACAACTCGGTGTTAAATTATAGACCACTTCTCCCACCCTTATCCAAAGCCGCCGGGCTTGTTCCAATCAGCGTATGCCGTACTACCGCTGCTTTTTTCCTCCTTTCTTTTTTACCCGATATCGAATCGAAATTGATAAAAAAGAACCTTTTTCATTTTGAGGTTATTGACAGGGTATAAACCAATGAACACCACTTGAATTTACTCTCTTCAATGGAACAACGCAGTTGAAGCTGACCTGACGGTGCGCGCGTAATATGGGCAAGAAACAACAACCTCGACAAGACACTAGTATATATCAAGTTTGTGTGAAAAAAAACTTTCACTTAGATAACAGATCAAAAGAAACTTTTTAATTCCCGATCCAAAAATAAAGCAAGACAGAAAAATAATCATGAAGCTCCCTGAAAGCAGACACGTTTCAGTTTTTAATTACATTTAATTGCTCATATTTACCTTGAATTGAAGTTGTTCATTATAATGGTCTCTATGATAACTGATCAAGATGCTACTTGTAGTGAGGATAATGGTGATGATGATGGTGATTATTAAGATGATTTATGCTGGTAATGATGTTATTGATGATGAAGAAGACGACAATGACAATGATGACCGATCATTAGGCTAATGTGTAGTTTTCACATCAAGAAGTAAACGCAAGCAAACAAACGGAAAGAATTTCTAACAAATGTATTTAATCATCAGAAATCAAAAATATGATGTCCCCATGACTGACTCTGTTTGCATTGCTTAGGACTTTTTCCCAATAACAGCAACTTACGGCACCAGTGGGATCTTTTCACAACATTGTCACATCGAAAACCATGAGAAAAAAATGGCCTAAAATATGAGGGCAAAGTTTCCAAAAGCGTACGAAAAGTGCGGATCTAACTATTTAAGAAAAGTTTTTTTCTTTTCTAAAACATCATAGATTCAAAAAGTTTAAGGTCTAGGAGAGGTATTAAATGATTCCTGCTTTATAAAGACAGGAAAAGAAAACAAGTGTTTGCTTGACTCCTGCCATTCAATTTGTCAAGTATTTGCGATTTTTGGAAAAAAAATTCAAGTGACGTATCAAATGATTGAACTGTATTTTTTACACATCAATCAATCTTTTTTGCATTTTTTTTATTCAATTCCTTAATTCAACCCTCTTTAACAAAGTTGTCACCAGTAATTGAGCCCCTCGCCCCATATATAAGAAAATCCAGAATCTGAGATCCAAGGAATCCTGTAATCCATCCATAGCGTGGATTCCAGAATCAAAGACTGTCTTGGATTACCTTACAGAGGGGCAGATATTATCTTTTTTATGTTCAAGCTTTCCCAGACCTAGAAACTACTCGATGAACCTCCATTTGTACTCTTCCACACAATCGCAGTTTGGAAAACATGGGAACCAGATTAAAAGTTCTTCAAACTATCCCTGAAAAGAGAAAAAATACGTATATTAAATATCATTGCTTGAAAGTTTACAAAAGAACTTCATGATTGCATAACTTGAAAATGCAACAGTAACGTCATCCTCGGAGACCCAGGGGCAGATAGTGAGGGTGAGGGAAAGTCTAAACGGGCTGACAAATATGGCACGAAGAAAAGTAAAGAACGGCGAGAAGAGCCCCTGGGGACAATGTCTTACCAGACCAGTTCCAAACGCTAGCCCCCTTTCTGTCTTCTGATTGGGCAGAAAAACACAAAAGTTTTCTGGCACCAATCAGAAGTCAGAACGGCGGCGACCGTTTGGAACTGGTCTGGTAAGACATTGTCCCCAGGGGCTCTTCTCGCTGTTCTTTACTTTTCTTCGTGCCATATTTTCCCGCCCGTTTAGACTTTCTCTCGCCCCCACTATCTGCCCCTGGGTCTCCGAGGATGCAGCAACGTATGAGCAAGAAGCAAAGTTTAATTGATAGACAGGAATCCTAGTCCATGCAATACTTGGAAATCGCTGGTCAAAACATGGAATAAAACCTTAAAAATATACACTGCCTTAGTCCCGATATAACCCTTGTTGTTTTTGGAAATAAATGCCAAACAAAGACAAAACAACTAGTTGTCATCAGAACGACGTGATTAACAAAAGAAAGACTCTAGGAAGGGCTACATCAAGCCAGAGCTTATCGAATACTCTTCTAGTCCATTTCTTTTCATCTATTTCTGTACAAATCAGTTTGAAAACCACTAAATCTGCTATGAACTAAAACTATTAATATTCTATATTACTAGTACTGCTTACACTATGTCAAATAGTAGACGATATGCAAAAATTATATTAATTGTCATTGGCAAGGCCCGTATGGCACCCGCAGAGGTAGGTACTGGAGAAGTGACTGTGTTTGAACCTGAAAAGAAAGCAGAGATTAAGTAAAACTATATCACTACAGACACCATTGGAACCGACTTTTAACTTCCATCATAGAGGGTCGATAAAGCTTGGTAGGGAACAATTCTAGGTGTCCGTTTTTGGGCTGGAAGAAACGATTAAATCTGACAATCCTGACTTAAACTACGAAAACAACTACCGTGTTTTGAATCAACTTAATCAATCAGGCCAAAAATGATCCACTTAAGAAAATGATAATTTAATACTACATTAGGTTATCTCCAATAATCCAGCAGTTGGAGGAGCCAGGAAAAGAACGTGGCGTGGTTGGTGCTGTTGGTTGCTTTAGTTGGAGTGGTTGCTGTCAGTAAGGTTAAGTTTCTGTGTTTAGTGCTACTTTTTGTTTTAATTTGTGATCAAAAGAAAATTCTTTTTTTGTTTAAAAAAAACTTACGGCCTTTTGGATCCGTGAAATGTACAATCGGTACTTTTGTAGCAGTTAGTAGCATTTTAGGAAGAGTTTCGTCTTCAAAAACACGTAAAAGGCGCAGAAAGCTGTGAACTGCACTTTCGGGTGTTTATACTCGTCCAACGTTTTCTCAAGATCCAAAGATCTTGAGATTTACTATATACAAGCTACTTAAAGATATGCTTAGGCGATACACTAACCATACTCTAACTACGATAACCAGTAGAACCTCTACACCAACAACTTCAACTAAAAAAACTGTACGTTACTAGCGTCTCTGACAATGGTTACAGTGACGTACATAACATTTATCAAAAAATTTTGACAAGACGGTTCCAATGCAATATACAGCATGACAATAGCTAGATGATTAGAGACGCCACTAAAACCGTGCACGAGGAAAATTTCCTACCAATTGTTTGATCGAAATCTCTGGTTGACATTAAAGACGTAGGAACAGTTGACATTCCTGAGGAGGAAAAAGTGAAAAAAAAAATAAGGATATAGCTTTTAGTGTTTGTTTATATTTTCAGCAGGAAACTAACGTTAGTTTAACTTAACCAGCATTCTTGTGTCTGGACGAGCTCGAGACCGGTTTTTGTTTCTTATTTCTTTTTTTTAATTGACCAATGTAATGTACCTTATCTAAGACAGTCCTGGATTCTGGATTCCACACTGTGGATTTGGGATTCTCAGTACTTAATTCCGGATTCCTTGTTAGCAGAAACCTGGATTCCAGATTGCAATCGTTAGCGGGATTCCGAAGTCCTCAAACTGAATTCCGGACTCCAAAGTCCAGGATTCCACGTTCCACATACAAAATTTCACTGATTCCGGAATCTGGATTACCTTGCATGTGGCGATTCTTTCTTCAGTTTCTCGCTATAAATTGTTGCCAAATTATATGATCCCAAAACAAACTAAGGAGAAATTCTCAGATCGACTTTATTTTGTATGCAGAAGTCGGGGACTAACTAGCACTTTAAAAATATAGTTTACATGTTTTAGAACAAACCGACCTAATTTAAGTAGCTCATCTGAGTAAATATTTTACTTACCATCTAATTTAAGTTCTATAACGGACAATTTCGTCACTTCCAAGTGATTGCCGCTTAGGTTCTCGAATACAGTGCCAACTCCATACAGCCCTCCATCGCTATGAATGGTATTCTTGATTTTAAGTAATAAATGCGTTTGGTTGTACGACGAGAACACTGTCCTCGCGGTGCAAAACGCCTTCAGCATGACGTTTTCGGTGCAATTTCCATTGCCATTTGCACTTGACAAAGTAATGAAAATATTGCTATCTTCATTTTTCCATACCCGATAACCTCGAAAATTTTCACTGCTATCATTCCGTGATCGACAGAAGAGCAGCTCTGCATGTTCACTAACATGGACCGTAACTTGTGTAATGTTGCAAGCGTCACCTGTACAAAACGACTTGAAGTGATTATTAGACCTTCATTTTGGCCCATTCGAACCTGTTTTGTTCCTCTGGAACTAAAGGGATGCGTATCAGGATCTAGAATTTCCTTGCAGTCCATAATATATGCGAATAGCTAGCCTCCAGCAAACTAAACCACCGTCTATAATAAACTTCCCTTGACCCAATTGCAACCAGAACGCTTAATAAAAAACTGGACAGGATTATAATATTTGCAAAACATTTCCTTGTCCAGGACAACAAACATTTCGGCACGCTTTCCTCAAAAAGTGTTCTAGTGAAAAGTCACGAGTCATACGACAGAAATTAAAGGGTCGCACGTCCGTTTAAATACGTTGTTTAGTGAAACGTGGCCCTTACTCTTAGTAATTGCACCAGAAAGTTCCGTCACTCAACTATGCATAAAAGACTACTCACCATAAAAGACTACTCACCCGTAAGAAACAGTGATAAAAGCCAAACCAAAGCGAAGGAAAACGCTTCCAAAGATAACATAACTGTTAAAAGGTAACAAACAGTATTTTATTGTGCCGTAATAAGCTCTAAGCACCGGGGTGTGACTGTCACTCATTACCAAACTTCTTGAGCGAAAGTGGAGAGATCTGGCATGGAGCAGATCCCGGATTAACAAATAGAAAATGAAGTTCCTTGTTTTAAACAATCAAATAGGAATTTCGAATATTTCAGTAGGTACACCACAAGCTGAAGAGGATTTAAACTATTTTACTGAAACCAACTTTTTTGTCAGCAAGTTCAAGGTAGCAGCATAAAATCAGGGCATACTCACTTAGTCTCACTTAGTGTGACGATTTTATACTTCCCATTCTTCTCGGAAAGCTGGAAACAAAACCTTTTGTCTTGAACGAAATCAAAACAAATTAATGACTTGATTGAATTGTAAATTGACCGATAATTTCAACAATTTCAAATCTCATGCACTCAATTTCAAGATCTTTTCTACTTTTCAACCGTCATCTCAAAAAGAGCTTGAGCGGCTAGGATAACAAAACACAGTCACACAGGTTGCCCCATGTAAGGGAATCCAAGGCGGTTGTCTTGTGTCTTGGATTCTGGATTCCACTCCGTGAATTTTGGATTCCAGGCACTGAATTCGGGATTCTTTGCCAGTGGAGCTTGGATTCCGGATTCCAAAGCCCAGGATTCGGATTCCACAAGAAATTATTTCCAGGATTCCGGAATCTGGATTCCCTTCACCAAATGGAGACACAGGGGAATAGCTTCAGTACCAGTTTCTCCCGCATTTAAAATTTCTGATATTGTTGTTTGAAGCCATTTCATTACGGCAAACAAACAAAATGTAAAACCTGGGAAGATAATACCCGTCGTAAAAGGATACACAACGCTGTTATAAATTACAAATTCAGTTCAGTTAGTAGAAACTTCAGTCTCCATCCTTTGTTGAAATAAGTTGTTCGTGCATTTACAAAAGATTTTAACATGTTTAATACATTGAAATGGTCTAAATTTTCACTGATTTGTTTTTCTGATCAGCAGAATGGTAGAAAATTTGAAAATTCTTGGATCATGTACAATCTTCAGGCCTTGCTCCCTCCTTCAATGAACTGCAAACTCGACTGGATCTTGTGATATGCAAAATGTTTTAATCTTGTTTTAAAAAACAAGGGAATGCTTTCCTCCTCCTCCCCCTCCCCCTGCTTCTCCTCCACTTTCTTGCTACAAATGTCTGGGGATCCAGAATGGCTTTCACAAAGGAACCCACCGGGTTTGTGAGGCAGATCAGACGGTAGTTAACTACCGACTGCCCTACCTCACAAACCCGATTAGAACAATGACGTTGAAAGTACTTATCGTGAAGTTGATCATCAGCTCGGTTCCGTTAATTTCTAACTTTCAGAGTAATTCAGTCTGAACTTTCTAAGAGCCAGAACTTGCTTAAAAGGTAACGGACTGATCTAACGTTTAACTACATGATAAGTGCTTTAAATCTCATTTCCACTCATTGTCAATTAAATTTAATGGTCATCTTTGTAAAATGTGCAACCGAGGGGTAAAGATGATAAATGCCACATTTTCCTCCTAATTTACAACCCCGTGTGAATTGGCATATAAATGTAGCATTTACCATTTTTGCAAATCAGTTTGCACATTTTTGCGATGAGCAAATTTGATGAAAATGCACTAAATTTTCGTCCAGTGCTTCAGGAGGAATCATGCATAAAGATTATTTCTATCTGCCTGTAAGCTAACATTAATCAGGAGCCAAGTTATCTATGCATACTGTTGTCAAATTAAGCTGTGATTACCCCAGGAGGAAAGCAAGTTTCAAACAAACTGAGGCCAGGGATGTACCATGCCTAGCTTTGATTGCGGCTACTGAACCAGTGATTCATTGTGGGCGTTATTTTTCTACATTTTAGATGAAAGCAATTTAATTTTGTTTTGTTTTCAGAGACCTTGAAAATACAGAATGGATGGGTGACGATGATGTGGAAAACTCAAGGGCTTAAGACGTGATTATGTAGATTGAGACAGACGCTAGAAAAAAAGAAGAGCTTAAGGGGAAGGGGTGGGGTCAGTCAAGTTCCATAGTAACCAATCACACTGCTGTTATTCTCCCAGCTGGTACAAAGTTAAAACCAATTCGTTGTAAAGTACAGATATGGGATTTGTAGAGAGAACTGTAAAGCCGCACTTTACACTGCACTTGCAGATGAAGACTGGGATAATGTGCTCGCTGCTCCTGATGTTCAGCGAGCGGTTTGTATATTGGAAGAAACGATTCACGGTCATATGGACAGGTGCATGTATGCCGGTCAGAGCTGTTTCTGTGTCGTCACGCAATCCGCCGTGGATGACACCACTTCTTAAGTCAATGATCAGAACGAAGTCCAGAGTTTCTTCGCTGAGCAAAGACAGACTGTGTCTTATTAACAAAAGAATAGCTGGCATCATCTTGGAAAATAGGACAAAGTTTATGGCTGCCCCTCCAGGTAGTCGAGGATGGTGGAAAGGAGTTGATGAATCGTTGCAGCGGTGTCGTGCATCCTGTAAGAGTAAACCTAGATAAAAGCAGTTTGGTGGAATTGAATGATTACTTTGCTAAGCTCTGCTCAGATGATACGTACATAGAACCAACTCCTGTCACGATCAGCAGCGAATTGGAGATCCCGGTAATTTCCGAACACCAGGCCTGGAATTAACACACTCCAAAGAACCGCGACTGGACCCGACCAGACTCCTTACTGGGTTTGGAAAGAGCATGCAGAGATTTTCATGGAATCTCTCAATCTCCACTCGCAGTTTGCTATTATCGAGGAAGCAAGCGATTATCACCCCCCCCCCCCCTCCCCAAAGTGGATGTTCCTAAAGCACATAGTGATTATCGCGGTATTATATTAATATAGCCCCTGTCATAACGAGGGCTTTCGAAAAAATTGTCCACCACTGCCATGCCCCTGAGGCCATTGAAAACGTAAACCACCTCAGTGCCACTCAGTTCGCCTTCGGAAAAGGTGGAAACTGTACCGATGTTCTCTTTTCAATTCAACATAGGATCAACAGCTTCTTAGATAACCCTGATTGTAAAGCAGTTCGCCTTTTTGCTATGGACTTCTGAGCAGAAAAGCTTTTGACTCTGTTAAGCATGAACTTCTTGCTAATAAAATAAAAAACGACCCTCATTGGATCCATATTATAATTTAACATCAACGAGTTTTTTTAAAAATTTTAAAGGATAGAAAACAAAGGGTTTTTTTCAACGACTTTGAGCGCGACTGGAAACCTGTTGACAAAGGGACTACTCATGGTAGGGTTAGTGGTTCTTACCTTTTGAACAACTTTCTCAATGACCTTAACATCACTTTAGGAAATCATGACGCGCTATGTAAGTACGATGATGATTCGACACAGTTTTGAGATTGGACGGAAGCAAATAGAATGTCTTGCAATCCTAGGAAAAGGTAAAGGAGTTGACATTTAACAAGAGAGGGAACCACGATATGTTCTAGATCAGCACCTATTGGGAGGATACCTAGCTGTAAAGACGTATAGATTTTAGGGTTCACCTTCCAATGCGACAGCAAATTTTAAGTGCATGTGAAGAACAAACTTATTGAGGCTAAAAAATCCCTACATACCCTTAGAACGCTGCGCAAAGAGGGATGTACTCAGTCAGAAATAGACCTTCTCTTTAACACAATAGTTCTACCTAATAATACTTATGCATTATCCGTCTACGTTGCGTCCGTTTCCCGTCCTACACCTGTGCAATGTTTCTTGGACCGCTGTTTTAAAAGGAAATACACATCTAAGCCTGTAAGTGTATATGATTTTTTAGATAGGTAAGATGGCAAATTGTTTAGAAAAGTTTCAAATTCCACTGGACATTCAATACTATCTGTAACTCCCTCGAGTCAAACCGTCTAGCTACCATCTTAGGAAAGAAACTCGTTATAAACCTAAGATAATTACTATGTGTTTAAAAACTCTTTTAAAACGCAAAACCAAATACGAATACAAATTAGCTTTGTAATATACTAGATTTTAATTCTTACCTTTTACCTTCTCATACTTTTTACTAGATGTAAAATTTCTTAATTAAATACCCTTGTAACAAAAGACATCTACTTTTATCTTTTGACGAATAAAGACTTTATTATTACTATTATTACATGAGGTTAAAAAAAAAATAGAAAGATAGCGGCGATTACTGTTTTTCGAAGATCTCTAGCCTTTTAATTGTATAACAACAGTTTCCAGTCAGTTCAAGGTCTTGATATGTCGATAAAATCCTTAAATGCCCCTGACTGTCAATTGCATTAGGGGGGAAATGCCTAATCGTCTGCGAACAAATTTTAGTCATTTTCGCTGCATTACACTCACAAAAGGCTACAGCACCCTCAGCTTTTCTTGCTACGGAATCAATACCTAGGTTAAGTAACAAATTTTGGCGAAGTTTAGGAGGATATAAGGAGGATACAGAGTTTTGCGGTGCAACGAGCAAACAAAGATACATGACACCAGGAAGGTCTCTCAAGATTCCCATCAGACGATCCAAACCTGGAAAAAATCTCACTGCAGTCTTAAGTCTTTAAGAGTTCCACCCGTTATAGCGCAAACCGAAAAACGCTTTTTAAATACAGTTCCAGTAGTTTCAAAAATTGCGTTATACTAAAAAGAAAATAGCATTAAAGTAGATTAATATGCAATGAAAAGTAAAAAGATCTGTTTCAGCCCCAAAGTGCCAATTCAGCCCATCAAATTGATGGGCTCCTGACACGGCCCGAGGGGCCAAAAATTTTTTTTGATACCGAGCAGAATTCGATCAAAATAAGGGTGTCGGAGCAGAATTTTGAGCAGAATAATCGATTTTTACAAGCACTGCCGGCAGGCAGAATAAACCATTTTACGAGCGCTAGTGTGTGGTTGCAGCACCTTGTAAATAGCAGCTGTCACTAAAGAAAATCCTTTTGATACCATTGGTTACCTAGTTCATGTGTTGATTGGTCAGTCCTATTGTAAATACGGCTCCCGAACAATGCTCTTCTCGGAAACGTTGGAACACAGCGTGAAACACGTTGGGAAGACGCAATCAACGTTCACTCTCCGTAAATGTTTTTTGCTAGGCTTAGGTTCAGTTCATCGTAGAAACAAACAGTCATAAAAAACGGCAGGTTTTTCTTATTTCCATAAAATTATCTACGATGCTTTTGGTTTACATCATTGTGATTCCGGGCGTTATAGGTAAGTAGAAAAAGACTTACAGTTCTATAGTTCCATCGTCCTCGTGTCTTTAATTTCCCATCTTATTGAGTCGCCAGGGTGAATGAATCGCTTTTATATTATTTGGTTTACATGGCGAATGAAAGAACCGAGCAGAAAAGTCAAGGTGCTTGTCTTTTATTTTTAAAATAACAGAGAATTCTGACTGAAATTCTCATTTCTTTTAGGGAGTAAGTGTATTAAGTAATCACTTTAAACGGAAGCCGAAAGTGAAAGTAGATATTATACAAGTTTCGATTCAGGTCTTAGTTTATTCCATAAACTCAAATTTAATAATCATTTGATTCGATGCATATGTATTTTGCCTAAGCATTTACTGCTAAGAAAGGGGGAAGATTTGGAGGCAAAAAGCAGCTGCAAAGTAACATCGAAAAGTGTCGTAACGGAAGAAAGAGAACTGAAGCGGAAACACAGGGAGGCGCAGACAAGTTTTTGCCAGCTGACATTATTGTTCGTTGTGTTTATTCAAAGATGTGTCTCACAAAACCTTTCCAAGCAGTGTTCAAACCTTTCTGAACACTTCATTTGATCCACATCTTGATTACTATCTATCGATCGCATAAAAATCGAAACTTACGGGTCTCTGTCCTTTTCTTTTCAACTTTTTAACATTATATGCTTTGTTTATCCTTCCCGTTTTCCGAGAAAGTCTGCATTAATCAATTTGAGATGTACGTAAGTGGATTTTAATTACCAAGAAGGTAAGGAATCCTGGACGCGGAAATCTGCAACAGGAATACTGAACTGTTAGAGGTTTCGGAGCTTTGTGGGCCAGTTAGGGCGAACTATCCGTCTGGATTTGCCAGCAAAAAAAAGTCTGCCCTAAAGTCTGCTCAAGGCTCTTGTCTTGTCCAAAGTAGCCATAAAAACAAAGGGTGCACCACCGATTTTCTCTCTTCTCATCCTTCATTTCCTCCCTTTCCTGTTTTGTTGTGATTTCCGGGTTTCTCGGAAACCTTACAGTCAAGGCAGGTCAAGCGTACCCCACAAGATTCTATTAATGAATTGATTATTTTAAAAATGAACCGTTGGTCGTTCCCGTAACTAGTGTCAAATTCCAATGGGCATGAATTCGTGACAAGGCTATAACTTGCGTATTTTGTCGTGATCTTGACAAACATCAATGTTCTCTTGTCTTGTACAAAAAGATCTTTTTAAAAGAAAGTGAAGTTTGGCAAAAAGTTATTTCAAGCAAAATTATTGTCACGCTTGTCACACAAGGTTTGCCGTCTTCTTTCCTCTCCCGTCCTGTTGCGTAAGTTCACTATAAAACTTGCAGAGTTTGGAACACGCCAGAAGGTGTTTTCGTCACTTGAAAAAAAAAGGAGGGCAAGAGAAAAAAGAAATGGTCGCACCCTTTGTTTCAGACCATACGAAACAGAACTTTTAGAGAAAGTCAAAAGGTTTGGTGGGTTGCACTAAGATTACGTTTTGAAGTTAAAAACGATCACTTCCCCCGTCCTCCGAGATCTGAATTAAGTTAAAATAGGAGATTATCGCTATCTACAAGCCTGGATTTGCCGGCCCACGCCCGAGGCGCCAAAGCTGCCAGTTTTCGCCAGTGGAACACAACTTTTTAAATACATGACAATTCAGCCTGATGCGAGGTCAATTTTGAAATGAATGAAACAAATGAATCACTCTTTCAGCTTCACATCAAGAACAGCGTCCAAGGATTATTTCAGGACCAAGCCATCCCATGATTGGAAAAAAGCAAGGAAACTTAACATTTGACTGGACTTTCAAACTCTTGCCTGGGAGGACCTGGATCGAGAGCGTGGAACATGTGGCTTTCGGGTTCTGGAAACCACCAGGATATCTGAAGACAAAGCTCATAGTTATCGGAAAAAATGGGGAAGTAATGATTCGACAAAACCAGGAGAGCAAAATAAGCTGCGCATTCAACATGTCTCTTCTGCAAGTGGCATTTACGGTTCATGATTTAGGCACGGGTGACGAGAACGAATACGGTCTTCACGTTGAGCTTGGCTTGGCGCGGAAGCCCTTAATTGACGTTGTTACGCTTCTCTTGGAGGGTAATAGTATTAATAGTATTACAGCATTGAAACACATACACTGCTTTTTAATAGTAGTTTCAGCTAGCGCTGTTAAAACTTGTCCTATTTTTCTAGATTTTTATTTCATTTGTGCATGGTATGCCTTAATGGCAGTAGGTCGGCTGTTTTTTGGCTCGACTTTGGCTTCTGGGATTGACATGCAGGGCGATTAGTTATCCCTAATATAATGAGCAAATTATTTTATCAGTTGTGCGAGGCTATATTCGTATTCTTCAAGGTTTTAACAGGCAAAAGTGATCTTTTAGATGGTAAAAAGATGATTTTCAAATCGAATACGGTGACTCCCATTTTGATACACTTTTGGACTTTCTGAAATGATTGTTGACCGTGCCAATCTGTTTCATTTTGAATCGCTGTTTTTTGTTGTTTTTTTTTAATTTGAGGTGGCTTTTTCTTCTTGGCCAAATATGTTTACACTGATTACACGTTTCTAACTAACAGACCCACCCAAAATTGTCAGACCTCCGAAAAGGAATATTTATTTGAGGACTGGAGACGAACTATCGTTGAACTGCAAGGCCACTGGACTTCCGCGTCCGCAGGTCACGTGGGAACGATTTGGAAGGGTTGTGAGAAACCACTCTATACTGTTAGGACGAGTGAATAAAAATGACAGTGGACTGTACCTATGCAAAGCTAAAAGTACTGCTGGGGAGGACAGCATGAAGATTTTTGTTAGAGTCGAGGATAAAGAGAAACCAACAGTAGCAACAGGTGAGGAGAGCTGGTGACATGAGTTGTGTAGATTGTACCCGTAGAAGACAATCTGCTATTTCTAGCTATACAGTTGAGTTTAACAAATTAGTCACTATATTTACAGTTCACACTTGGATTTTTATCATCAGGGCATTAGTGAGGATGTAAACGTCCTGATAGACATGAACATGGAACTTATGGGGTGGGGGGTGGGGGGAGCAGATGTCACCGGCTCCTGAGGTGTCTTCGTTAGGTTTTTCCTTGACTTTTTCAAAACGCCTTTAAGAAAGTAAAACTGCTGTAAAAGCACCCATTTTGAAAATTAGTATCATCTATATTACAGTACATCTTCCAATGAAAATCAGATATATTTATTCAGCAACGGCTAAAGTTTCAGAAAACTAATATAATTATGTCGACGTGTCAATTATCCCTCTTTTTAATTGTTTTAGAGGCTATAAATGCCCCGAATACTAAAAGCGTTCCACTGGATTTCAGACTCGTCAACACTTTTGAGTTATATTTTGACTCCACTAAAATCAACAACAGACATAATATCAAAGCATATAAGTTTATTTAGGTAGGGCTTAGTGAGAACCAACTCTGCAATGTCACGCTGTGTATACGTTAACATAGCTATGTACGACACTCGTATTTTTGCTTTCATAAAGAACTTCTACAACCGGTCAATCTCGACCTGTACCCCCAATTAAGCACACAGGCCCTGTTCTAGTTAGGCCACCAGTTAGGCTGGGGGTAATAAACTTCTGACAAACAAATGACTGGGACAGGAAACATTGTAGGAGCACTAAGGCTGAGAATCAGAAAAACTGGGGATCTATCTTTAACATAACGGGTTCATCTTCACTAATGTACCCAACAAGGCATGTAGGCCAATTAGGCTGCCAGAAAAGGCTAGGGTACAACATCTAGGGTAAACAGATGGCAAAAGACCCTGGGTGGAGGTCTGCAACATTGCCATTACTAATCGCGTCAATCTTGACTTACGTGGCCACCTAAGGAGCAGTTCCGAGATAGCTGACCGAAGCGTACATAGAAACTATATATTAAATAAGTTAAGAAACAGGTACAAAACTGTAATAACGGTACAAATACATAAGATAAGAAACGGAAAAAGTGCTGAGGACTAGTAGAGCTGAGCTGCCGCTTACAACTTAAATAAATTCGGTCAGACAGAGGCCAGAAAAAACCCGAACGGAAAAAATGCGGGCAGGAAATCTGGGAAAGAAACAAGGATTAAGTCCAGATGTCCTTTCTACGGAACTTTACAAGGTAATCGAGAATATGCCCGGCGCCTAAAATGAAACAAAAGAGTTAGAAACCACGGAAAGGTTGGTTCAGAAGCCTAGATGACGAACAAGTGATATACGCAGCCTTACATACCCCGGTATAGCTACCCATGGTGCCACTGGCCTAGCACCCAGACCCTGTTTTATGTGATGCCGTCAAAGTATTTATTTCCTCCTTCTTCGCGGGCTAATTCGTCAGAAATAGCATATTTTTATCATTAATACTACTATTAATCCCTATAAAGAAATTGGTAGTTTCTTGAAAGGGCACTGAACAATACCCACACCACAACAAAATCGCTAACCTACAATAGTTTTCGCAAAACAAAAGAATTAACACCCAAGAAATTGCAATTAGAACGAGGAAATTGTTTATGTTACTGCCATTCCCAGCTTTTTTCTCGCGAGAAGACTGTAAGCGGCTAAAACAAGCAAATTGTAAACACTTTTATACAGGTTTTTAACGATCTTTTAAAACACTTTTCAGACCATCAATGAATACCTAAACCATCTGCACTCATTTGCATGTATATTACTTCTTCTTACTGTTCCAATACCATTAAGGTATTATCTCTCTGTAATCAGAAGAAACGTACTGGTCGCCTTTACTTTACTATTTCTATTTAGTAAGCAATCTGCACAAAAAATCCCTCCGATCCCAAACTTCATAAAATTCTCCAATATCGCACTTAGGCTTTACCTAAAAACATGTTTTGGTTAAAGATTAAGAGCCATTTTTCTCAAAATATGCAATACAACTTGCGGCCCAACGCGATTCAGAGTTGTGGGTTTCAACTCAAATTACAGTTTAATGTTCAATTTGAGTCGGGTGACGGCACCGGCTTGCTTGAGGTGTACTGTGTTTTTGTTGCTTGAGCACTTCATCCAAGTAAAGCACCTCAATTGCAATTTAGCAAGTACAGCATCTCAAGCAAACCACCTTGTGCAAGCAAAGCACCTCAAGCACGTCAAGTATCTCATGCACGTAAAGAACCTCAAGCAAGCAAAGCACTTCAATTGTAATTAGCACGCTAAAAGCAGCTCTTGCAAGTAAAGCGTCTCATGCAGGAATAGCACGTCATGCGAGCAAAGCGTCTCATGCAAGCAAAGCACCTGATGCAAGTATAAGCACCTGAAGTAAGCAAAGCGCCTCCAGCAAGTAAAGCACCTAACACAAGCAAAGCGACACAAGCAAGTGTAGCATCTCAAGCAAGCAAAACACGTCATGCAAGTAAAGCACCTGAAGCAAGTAAAGCATCTCATACAAACAAAGCCAACTGAAAAATCAAGAAAAGTATTTCACATACAAGTAAAGCACCTCAGGCAAGTTAGCAGTATTAACAATTAACGCACCTCAAGTAAGCAAAGCACCTAAAGGAGGTAAAGCACCAGAAGCAAGTAGAGCACCTCATGCAAGTAAAGCACCTTAGGCAAGTAAAGGAGTAAAGCTTCTTACGCAAGCAAAGCACCCAATGGAAGTAAAGCACCTTATGTAATCAAAGCATCCCAAACAAATAAAGCATCTCGTGGATGTAAAGCACCTAATGCAAGTAAAGCATCATGCCAGCATAGCGTCTCATGCAAGCAAAGCACCTGATACAAGTAAAGCACCCGAAGCAAGTATATAAAGCGCATCAAACAAGTAAAGCAAATCAAGTAAGTAAAGAACCTCACGCAAGCAAAGCAACACAAGCAACAAGTACATGCAAGTAAAGCATCTCAAGCAAGTAAAACACCTTCACCCAAGCAAAGAATCTCATGCAAGTAAAGCATCTGAAGCATGTTAGCAAAACTAAGAAAAAAAGCACTTCAGATCAGGTACGCATGCAAGTAAAGCAATCAGTAAATGCCCACACGATACAGGGCAAACTATAATAATCATATATGATGTACCTAACCGAGCTTATCCGACGAATTGATGGTCAAAATTTAACACTTCTAAAGTTTTGTGGGACACTACGTAGACAACCATTAGTGCGACCAAATTTTATACATTGTCCAGCGGTAGTGGTATTGACAGGATTCCTATCTATCTCAAAGTAGTCTTATCACGGAATTGGGAATAATCCCGTGTGGTGTACTACGTTAAAAATTCGTTGTTTTTCTTATTTCAGTTCCTGTTTCTGGTGCAAGGATATCGCAAGGTAAAAGCCATGAGCGGAGGACAGTCATATTGGTGGCGAGCTCATCAGGATTAATTGTTTTGGTATCACTTGCGGCGTTCATCTTTTATTACAGGCGTCGTAGACGATCAAGAAAAAGCATCGCTTATGACTCTTTGCAGGAAAATACAACAGGAAAAACTATTTAAATATACAGATGACTCTCGATAACTCGAATCCTCGCTAACTCGAACCAAAGTCGATTTCCCCTTCTTACTTTTACTGTAATTACCCCCGGTGACTCGAACCCTCGATACTCGAACCTCCCGCTAACTCGCAGTATTTTTTTCCCCTTCATATCATTTCTATACAATTTTACCCTCGATAACTCGAACCACGTTATAAGCGCTTACCAAGTCGGAAAAAAAAACGTGTACTGAACAAAGTTTATTTCAAACCAACCAAGACAACTCTTTGCCTTTTTTTTTTGTCACTCCAATTCAAATTCAGTGTCCATTCCTGTATACTTTGTTGCTTAATTGCATTTCCTCCCCATCCATTTGCTTATTTCCTTACTTCAAACTGCCGATAACTAGAACTCCCGATAACTCGGACTTTTTTCGATTTTCATTGAAGGCTCGAGTTATCGGGAGTCGACTGTAGAACATTTCTCTCACCCTTCAACAGCATTAGTCGATTTAAATTAAGGACAACATCTGCTAATTGTCAACAATGAAACACCTACAGTCGGAACTCTCGCAAACGAACAGCTTAGGAATTCATAAAGTGGTCGCAGCTAGAGATGGTCGTTTCCAAGAGTGGGCTCTCGACCATTAATTATCAATACATTCAGCCAAAGATAATATACAACTGTCAGATTTTTTTTTGTAGTTGAATAGTGGTGGCGAACCCCTCATACGGAGACGCGAAGCGTCAAGGTGTCATATCGAGCACTATGAACCGACCCTGAGGGGGATAGCTGTTTTTAATTAGTATTTACCAAATCAGTTGGATACAAATCAAAAAGGAACCTTTTGTCAATAAAACATGTCACTTACTTAGAGTTTGTTTACGTTTCAATGGTCAGTGTTTCGGGATCATTTTTTATGATTTTGTTGCAAATTCAGTACGAATTTCAGTTTTTTGTACCAGTGATCAGTAAACAGCGACAAGCCAAATTTTGTCTTTTTCTTGGTATTTGTTGGTACAGCCATTGATAATAGAAAGACTGGATAGGAAACTGGCTGACGCAATCGGTTCCAACACAGTGGGAAAATGTGACGTCACATTATCAAGAGCCATCCAACCTCTTACATCCGACGTTTTGCGCGTCTTATTTTTCCTCGCATATTTCACTATCTCTGTCTTCAACTATCCATATTAGCCATGTTTCGAAGTACAGTGGAACCTCGTTAATGCGACCACCGTTGGGCCATAAAATCCTGGTCGTAATACCAAGGTGGTCGCATTAACGGGGTCTTCATAATAATAAAATGACTCAGTGATTTTTACGTTTGGGTCGAAAAAATATGGTCGTAATAACGAGGTGGTCGCATAAACGAGGTGGTCGTAAGACGGGGTTCCACTGTAAAGGATGAAGAGGACTTGCTCTTGGAGAAGACAGTTAGAGGGTACAAAACCGGTAGAGGCAAAAGACAGATCTGAGTAAATGATTATGAAACTTGTGAGAGCGAAGAATGACTCCAGCGTCCTATAATTTTATGCACCAAATGGGAAGCCTAACTACATTAAAACTATGCGAAAACTTACATGTATACAGCTACAAAACACCTATAAAAAAGGCACAGCCTAGTTTTCTTCAAACCACAAAAAAAGCGGAAATAA